TGTAAATTGAAGTTTCAGTGGTTTATTGCGTGGACTACATTGTGGGTTGCACTCATCAAATCGATTTCTACAGACAAAGTTTTCGATTGCTTCTAATTGAAATTAGTTCTACTGTTTTTCTTCAGTGAGATTTCATTTCTGACATTTGATGGCTTCTTCAGTGAGTAAAATAAATAATCGTAGTAAAATTAACACAAATCGAATTGATGAAGAGGAAGAAATCACAACTTGTTCACAAAATGTTTACTGCAGTCAAACTGTGTGTACTTCACTACAATATTTCATTAATGAGAACCATCAGTAATAACAGACCATGTGAATTCGCTGCACACCTACATGTGTGTCTCTATACATTCAACTGCTCCTTTAAGACCACGTGTATAGGTCAGACAACTCGACAATTTCGTCATTGTTTTATAACAAAACACCACTCCTCGTGGTTGAGCAAAGGATAGGTACGAGTGATTAGCAGTTCCATTCGAGTATATTTGTTTGGCTATTAACCTCAAGGTGACTTCAATGAAACTCTCAAAATCATTCAACAAATTCGATCACACTTACCACCACAGTTTATAAAACATGTTTTTGCATATTCTTGAAGTTATTAAAATCCTTATTCATATACCTGATCTTTGTGCTTAAAAGAGTTTTGTACAAACACTCTGTGTACCTTGACCAGTGATTTCAGGTGAGATTTCTTTAACTTATTCTTCCAACGTATATTACAACAATTCTCTAACATCTTTCACTTTCATGTTATCGCATGTTCTCAATATGCATCGATCTCATGATTCTTACATAGGCGTCATATAACTGACCTTTTCTCGAAATGTTTTCTTAATCTAATCAATCTAACAACAGTTTTTATTACTAAATGTTTTCAATGTTTGTAAATTATCGTTTCAATTTTACGATGCTTATTTCGTCGTGTTCGGTACTTGTCTATTGGATGTAACTGCATGCCAGAGTTAATATTAAGTCGGAGTCTTGAACCAGACACCACACGGCTTCAAACGGTATCACGTTATCCAGATGATGGTGACTCAAACTACAACTGAAATAAAGTATTCTACAATTTTATTAACTCTGTTTTTATTTTGGAATAGTTTAAGCGCAACAATTTAGATTTGGAAAATTTTTTTTTCTTATTGCGCTTCTCAAAATGACGCAATTCTCTACATATTTCTCGTTGGTCCCGTTCTGTTAGATTGTGTTTCCACAATGATTTGAATGTAAGATAATAATCTAAGGTGCTAGCTTAGTAGACATATACTGAAGTAATTCTACGCAGGGTAACGAATCGAATTGTTTGAATACACTTAAATTTTGTCAAGAGTCTTTTTACTGATCCCTTCTTCATCGCAGTTCATTCATAAAAAATCTATGTTTACCAAACTGAAAGAAACCCTGCCATTTTTTCAACTGAAAAGATCATTTATCAAAGTAGCGCTTTATTTCAGTAATTCTGTCTAATTCGGATGTGCATCTTTTTTTTTTCAAGCGAATTGAGAAAAAGATGATGAGCAAATGTGTATGTGTGTGTGTGTATGATAGAGAGATAGAGGGAGAGAGAGAGAGAGATAGATAGACAGACAGACAGACAGATTAGACGGAAATGTGGATTTAAAAGAAAAAGTGCGTCCAATACAGACAGCCGTTGTAATCTATGCATCATTCTTCATTCAATCTCTCTTTCTCGCTCTCTGCCCTCCCTTTTCTCCAAAAAAAAGGAGGATACAAATCAAGGAAGGAGTAAAAATAAAAAACTTCAAGCATCGAAGCATTTTTAACGGTAAAATGATTAGGAAGCGAGAGTGTGTGTGAGAGAGAGAGACAAATGAATTTGAAATCCAAAAATAAAATACATCAAAAACAAAAAAAAATAAATAAAGCGAACCGTTCTCAGTGCAACACAAAAATCAATAATTAAATAAATCCCAATATATAAAATTCACTTGGTATGATGAAAGAGAAGAAAACAAGTAAATGGGATGTAGATGTGTTCTCTTTTTTTTTCTTTTCAATTTTAGCATTCAATGCCACAGACTGTGTGCAAGTGTACATGTGAAACATTCCATTCACAACAATGTCATGATGATGATGATGATGATGATAGATGACACAGTGAAGTGAATAAGCACTAATTTCAATCGCATGGCTGGCTATTCATATGGAAATGAGCAAAAAAGAAAAAAAGGACAAATCAGACAGAGGAAGAAGTGATGCAAAGGCAAGAGGAAGAAGAAGGAGAATAAGAAGCGAAAAAACTAAAAAAAACACAACACAAATATACAAAACGTCTCATTATTATTCCATGTTCATGAGAGTGTGTTTGTTTGCAAGAATGGCATGACACAGTGAAATAGGCTGAATGCACGCACGTGTGCTATTATTATATCTTAAGTGTAAAAAAGCATGCAAATTTGATCATTTTCAGTATGTGTGTGTGTGTGTGTGTGTTGAATTGCACGAAAATAGATGATGGTTCACACTATTGTGCATGATGCGTGTGTAGTGCCGATTTTTGCAATCCTTAACGACTTTTCATTAAATCGGTTTACTTTTGAGAAAGATTATTTCAAAATATAGAAATCAATAAATAATGAGACATTCTATAGTGAGATGCTCTTATTTTTCTGTTTGATTAAATTTTAATCACAATTAGATCTTGCATCACACATTATTGGCATTCAAGTTCAAGGGCGATCAATCACAGCAATGGGTGGTAATGAATGAATGCAGTCGTAGTTGAATTGGTTGGTTAAATATTGAAAGATTTTTAATACATAAATAAATGTTGTCTGCTGGCTTACTTTTGATGCTTTCAAATGAGATTTGATTATTTTGTTTGACAATTAACAAAAAAAACTGTACTTTTGACTTATACGAAGAAGTATTTTTTCTGTTCTGTTGAATTCGATAAAAGTCATTGTATGTAGTATGTCTCATAATTTATGCAACAATTTTGTTATCTAACACAGCACAGTAAAGTGACTGTTTTTTTGTTTTGTTGTTGTTGAACGTTTCAATAAATTTTTGAAGACATTGAATATGAATGAAATTTTCAATGAATTATGCAACTGTAATCATCATTCAGAATGCTACAAACAAGCAATAAAAAAAAGGTAGCGGAACTATTAAAAAAAACAAAATTTTATGCAAGAAATACTTTTAAGGTATTTTGATTAAAGATGGTGTGTGAATGTTCAATAGTATAGTTCACCATGGTGATGAATAAAAGAGAGAACAAAGGTTAAACAATAAATATCACAAGTTTTTTTCTTTTCATCACTTTGTAATTTGTACATTAGAAGTTAATCGCTTCAGTTGAATATTTTTCCAAAAGTCTCAAGAATGAAGTGAAGAAGTAGGCTTATGAAAGCAATAATTCAAGTTCTTTCTTTCATAACAAATGAAAGATTTTTTTGCCATCAGAGTTCCTGAAAACTTAAAACTACTTATCTTTATATGCTTAAAATCACGACGGTCAAACTATTAAAATCAAAATCAAAAACAAAAAACTTCTTAAAGTATTTTTAGCCGAGTGGAAAGAGAGCTGAATCATCCCACATTTCAGTGAAATATTCACTCATTCATTTGTTGAAGAGAATGTTTAGTTTCACAGTTAAATCTAATTGTTTGAGTAAAATCATTTCTATTTCTATTAAGATTACTGAGGAATAACTTTCATAGCTAATAATTATCATTGATAAGTAGCAATTTACTAATAAACAAACAAAGTTGAGTAAGTTGACTAAAAAGGGCATTATTCCTAAGTCCAGCACAAAGGAGTAAGTTAATTGTAGTCGCCTGAAACTCATGTAAGTTAGTAGTGATGCAGGTCTTCTGAGGCCTATGACCAGCTGATAAATTTAAGGATAATTTCATATAAGCAGGTTTTTTTGATCGATCGGGTGTGCAATAAACAGAGTAGTTTGAGTTCGACAGTAACTGTTCGTTCATTTTCAAGCCACAAGTACTTTCATCATTATTCTAACGATCATCTTTCCTAAATATTTAGAGGACTAAGTGTGGCTAACAGGTTGATGATATTTGGTTTCGGATTAAAAATGTATGAATCTTTAGAAAATTGTTTAAGGTTCCCTGAATGGCATATTATGCAGAACAAGGTAATATTAGACCCACCTAAGTTGTCGACGTATCAGTGTCCGTCAGACGAAGAAAAAAAGGATTTAAATCCTAACAACTGTGTTGTTATTTGTTTTTTTCGGATTCTATCGAGTAGTCTTTACAAGAGTGATCGATGATTTATAAATGCACTGATTAATTATAACATGCGTTATTAAATCTAGACGTGCTTCACACTGGATTTGTTATATTGCATGCATATTGCAAACTTATGCACTTTACATAAAATGCAGTTTATTCGCATTGTTTAGACACCACAAACTAACCAGACAGTGATCACAAACATATCTAATAAATGTAGCCAAAGCATGGGGAAGATGATAATATATGAAAAAGAAACTGTGAATACCTTTAATTTTCATATGTATGTTGAAAAATAGCTCTTGAACAGCGCGTACCAATCATATCCAGATCTATAAACTCGATGTAGTTCGTTGAAACTGAAATTCTGCTTAGCAAATTCAAGCTGTTTCATATGTACGGAAATACTTGGACTAACTATTTATCTGTTAATGTGTATGTGCATACACCAACTGGAAATAATTTGGTTCTTTCCACTTCTATTTTTTTTTCCATAGACAACAAATTTAGAACACATGTATCCCAAGCGTCATCAAACAGTTAACTGTTAGGAGTTTTAAATGTCTAAGTATACATGAAGTTAAGAGAAGGAAATGTAAACATGACAATGATGACAGTAAGCATAACAATAACAATAAATAAGCAAGAAGATAAATGCCTCTTGTAAAATCTGACTTGTAAAGATATACTGGAAATAATAAATTAGGAATGCTTTATATTGAGTTAAGATGAAGGAAACCAAATGACCGTATCCAAAAATTACCGCCTTTTCATTCTAGTTCATCATCTTTTCCTATTTTCTGACTGGGTTTTTCTGGTGACTTTTCCCTTTCAGTGATACTAACCATTTCATAATCAAAGCTGGAGGAAGTTTCATCTGTGAATGACTCCGTGAGATCAGTACTGTGGATTTGTTTACATGAGTCAGTAACTTCTTCCGACGCTATATTATCAATTTCTAGGGTTTCTTTCGTTTTCGGATCTCCAACTTGAGCTGAAAAGCTACTAGTTGTTAAACTATTCCATTGTTGAGAACCATCTGATGATCCTTGATTATCAGGAGCGAATGGTTTATTTATAAGAGTCTCATCTTCTAAGGTATTAGATATAGTCGACTGAGGATTCAAATCTGTTTTTGAGATGAAACCGCTTTCTATACCTTCGTGCAGAGCTATCTTCTCAGATGTGGTAGGAATAAGAGCTTCAGGGTCTATAAACGCTGTATATTCAATAGCTGATGGGGTGATTTGTGAGGCAGGGAATGAACAAGACGATCTGCTTGTTGTCTCGGATGTAGTGGACAATGAACAACCAGTAGTAGTAGTAGTAGTAATAATTTGTTCTATAACTAAACCGTTGTCATCTAATGAGTCTGTCATATAATTTCCCAGCACTGGTTTATTAACATATTCATGCTTTACAACTCCTGACACAGATATATTTGAGTCTTGTCTTTTATCAGATGATAGTGACTGGGGTTGTTTCTCATAAACCATGGGACTTCTCTCATTAGAATAAGATTCATTTGAAAACACCATACCAATAGTTCCTATGTATTGTTGATGTAAGTTGTCTATATGGACAGAATCAAATTCTGTTGTACCTTGTTCATTATTTTCGGGAGGGTTTAATGTGTTTTCTTCTTTCCTGTTTGAAATAGCTGATGATGAATTAGGGCTAAGGGAATCAGCAGTTTTACTGAGTTGTTCATATTCGTTTTCATCTAATGAATCCATTCTGCGTGATGATACAAGGTCTCTCCAATTATCATTTATTCCGAAATTCACGTTCGATTTTGCATCATATAAACTATTTTCATAGCCAGAAGGTACTAAAGAATCATAAATTGAAGAACAAATTAATGAGTCAGTTTCTTCTACTCCTATTAAATAATCCTCAACTTTATTCAGTAACGGTTCTATTTCTGAACTAGAAGTTAAACTTTTTCCTGTCGTTTCGGCTTGTAAAGGATCACCGGATATATTTGAATGTATTAATAGGAGTTCAGAATCAGAACAACCAACCTGTGATTTATTTTCATCGTTTTGATTTAAGTATGTACATGATATCTGATCATCTTCTTTAACTGAATGAACGGAAGTAGTTGGAGATTCTATACTCTGCGAGAGTGAATTTATATTATGTTCCGCTAAGTCTTCATAAATAGTTGAGATTTGTCCATAACGTGAGGTCAAGTTGTTTGAAGTTAACATTTCTGTGACCACTGTTTTTGCTTTATCATTCATATCTATCAAGTCGTTGAATTCTAGTGTAATTCTTGAGTCGAAGGGTAATATCAAGCTTTCATCGCAACTTTCACATTCTTTCTCATGACGCAGATACTCAGAAAGTGACGAAGTGTGAGAACTGACATCTTCACCGCTTCCCTTATGACCACTACTAGGAGAAGTAGAATCGCTGTTACCCAGTTCTTTTCCAAATCTTTCAAGTTCGGGCAATGAGCTGCTAGCGACGTTCTCATCACATGTTTTTAATCCTCTTTTTAGATAAATACTAGATGGTGTCGATTTAACCCGATCACTTGAAAACTCTAACTGATTCTCAGAGGAACCCTCTGAAATTCGTGGAAAACTGATGTGTCCTTCGATTGTTTCATGAAAATAGGGTTTCGTTATATTGATACATCCTTGATCAGAGTAGATGGGTTGTGACAGTGGAATGCTACCGAAATCTGTAGATGTCTGTAATGTAGTACTTCCTACCACAGGTTCTGATCCTAATAGGTTAGATTTATAATTAACTGGCTTTCTTTTAGGGACACTAGACAAATGAACCAAACTCTTCCCAGGTGTTAACTTAGCTTTATCGTCTCCTAGTTTTATTTCATCATCAAGAAGATCAAGATCGCTTTCAATAGACTCTAGGGTGGTTCTTGAATCCAGTAACTGAACACTTTTGAGTTCACCAGCGACAAAATCATGTCCTTGGGAAGAAAAACTCTGCGACAACAGCTTTTCATCTGTTATATTTCCCCTTGATAGTTGAGAGATTATTGGTGATTGGTTCATTCTTCCAACATTCACAACCGTAGAGTAACTGCTAAGACTTGATTCATCTGGAGTGGAACTTGTTTGAAATTCAGGATCTGGGCTAAATGGAATTTTTGTAACGGCAATTGACTGAGAGGAGATTAAACTTTCTGAATCTAAATGTTGCTGAATGGATATTTCTTTTTCAATAAAAGAGTCTTTTTGACCGTCTGTATCAGATTTTAACCCACTTTCAAACTTGAGTTGATTTGTATTAACTGTTTCAAGAATCGGAGGCAGACCAGTACTAACACCTTCGGTTTCGTCTGTGATTATTTCACGTGATGGGCTATCAATACTACCAAATTCAAACGTATTGCTGAATCCTTCAAGGCTATCGCCATCAAAATTGTCTAATTCATCATGACTGGGTTCTGTGATCATCTGTTTGTTTGATATAAGTATATTTTCATGTCCTTTTGAAATGGTCCTCTCATCATTTTCGAAGAATTCTTTGTGTGGGGTGGTTAATTTTGTTTCTGATGCACGCCAGTTAAGATTGCTAAGCGAAGTTGTAGCCATCAAGTTACCTCGGAAGCCATAGGTTTGTAGACGAGTGAGCATTCGGGCAGACCTGTCAAGAGCTGAATGCACTAGCTGATTGGAATCTCCATGTTCGGATGATTTCAACCTACCAGGACACAATATAGAGAACTCATCTTCTTCCTCTTCCTCATCTGTGAATTCCATAGCAACACTTGCTCCTGATGCTGCTGCAAGATAAGTCAAGTTAGCTTTTTCTGAAGAAGGAGATTTATCTAAAATATCTGACTTCGGAATTGTTTCAGTTACTAATGATTCACCTGATTCAGGTTGATCATTTAATGAATCTTCATTGCTAGATACAGATGACATTTTTAATTCATGGCTGGGTTTTTCAATAATCACTTCATCAAAGCTATCAGTTAACAATTTATTTGCACAATCCAAAGAATCGTATTCAGTATTAGATTCAAAAGTGAAGTGATCAATTAAATTTGAACCAGAAGCAAGCAAAACAGTTTGGTCATCTGTTATTGACAAGTCATTATTAATAAAATCCTCCTGAGATACTTCCTGAATATCAGACGAATCAATCACATTTGCGGTGGCCTGAATAATAGATGGTAATCTATTGCTTGATCTAAGTTCATCGACTGATAGATATTCATATTCAGATAGAGCAAGGACAGAAGCTTCAGGTTTGAAAGGAGGTATGGATTCCAGAGACGTGTCATGAAATGGAGAAGTTTGAACATGATCAGAAATCTCTCCATCGATTTCTCCACAGTGAGAAGAAACAGAAACGTCAGAACACTCTTTAGGAATAACGCTATCTTCTATAGAAAAACTATGAAGTTCAGAAAAGGATTCAGTTGAATGACGAACAAATTGACTCAGACCAAGAAACAGGCCTTCAGGTGCAACAGCGAGAATATTCGAATCAAGCGAAGCAGAATCCAAATGCATACGAGAAAAATCAGACAAACCGGCATGAAGAGATTGAGATGAAGATATCGGAGACTGAGAGATGGAAAGAACAGGATCAATGTGACAGAGAGAAATAGATGCATGACTCGCCGTGCAGACAGTGCAAGAAACCGGCAATTCAGAAGCAGTAAAAAAAAAATTATCTACAAAAGACAACGAAGGTGAAACGAAAAACGAAACACTATCCGAAACAAACTGCTCTGCCGCTTCACTTTCTGCGTCCGCTTCAACTTGCCCCAATGTCTCACCGAACACTTCCACTACCGACTCAGCTTCCACCTCCCCTTCAAATACGCCTTCACCAACTTCACCATATTCCGCCGCCTCCATCTCACCGACACGCTCCTCAACCAATCGTTCCCGTTCCGGTTGTGCTGCAGTCTCTGCAAGCGCCTCAGACTCCAATTCGACTGGTGCGAACACAGACACACGTTCCGATTCAACCTGTTCTGCCGCTTCACTTTCTGCGTCCGCTTCAACTTGCCCCAATGTCTCACCGAACACTTCCACTACCGACTCAGCTTCCACCTCCCCTTCAAATACGCCTTCACCAACTTCACCATATTCCGCCGCCTCCATCTCACCGACACGCTCCTCAACCAATCCTTCCCGTTCCGGTTGTGCTGCAGTCTCTGCAAGCGCCTCAGACTCCAATTCGACTGGTGCGAACACAGACACACGTTCCGATTCAACCTGTTCTGCCGCTTCACTTTCTGCGTCCGCTTCAACTTGCCCCAATGTCTCACCGAACACTTCCACTACCGACTCAGCTTCCACCTCCCCTTCAAATACGCCTTCACCAACTTCACCATATTCCGCCGCCTCCATCTCACCGACACGCTCCTCAACCAATCCTTCCCGTTCCGGTTGTGCTGCAGTCTCTGCAAGCGCCTCAGACTCCAATTCGACTGGTGCGAACACAGACACACGTTCCGATTCAACCTGTTCTGCCGCTTCACTTTCTGCGTCCGCTTCAACTTGCCCCAATGTCTCACCGAACACTTCCACTACCGACTCAGCTTCCACCTCCCCTTCAAATACGCCTTCACCAACTTCACCATATTCCGCCGCCTCCATCTCACCGACACGCTCCTCAACCAATCCTTCCCGTTCCGGTTGTGCTGCAGTCTCTGCAAGCGCCTCAGACTCCAATTCGACTGGTGCGAACACAGACACACGTTCCGATTCAACCTGTTCTGCCGCTTCACTTTCTGCGTCCGCTTCAACTTGCCCCAATGTCTCACCGAACACTTCCACTACCGACTCAGCTTCCACCTCCCCTTCAAATACGCCTTCACCAACTTCACCATATTCCGCCGCCTCCATCTCACCGACACGCTCCTCAACCAATCCTTCCCGTTCCGGTTGTGCTGCAGTCTCTGCAAGCGCCTCAGACTCCAATTCGACTGGTGCGAACACAGACACACGTTCCGATTCAACCTGTTCTGCCGCTTCACTTTCTGCGTCCGCTTCAACTTGCCCCAATGTCTCACCGAACACTTCCACTACCGACTCAGCTTCCACCTCCCCTTCAAATACGCCTTCACCAACTTCACCATATTCCGCCGCCTCCATCTCACCGACACGCTCCTCAACCAATCGTTCCCGTTCCGGTTGTGCTGCAGTCTCTGCAAGCGCCTCAGACTCCAATTCGACTGGTGCGAACACAGACACACGTTCCGATTCAACCTGTTCTGCCGCTTCACTTTCTGCGTCCGCTTCAACTTGCCCCAATGTCTCACCGAACACTTCCACTACCGACTCAGCTTCCACCTCCCCTTCAAATACGCCTTCACCAACTTCACCATATTCCGCCGCCTCCATCTCACCGACACGCTCCTCAACCAATCGTTCCCGTTCCGGTTGTGCTGCAGTCTCTGCAAGCGCCTCAGACTCCAATTCGACTGGTGCGAACACAGACACACGTTCCGATTCAACCTGTTCTGCCGCTTCACTTTCTGCGTCCGCTTCAACTTGCCCCAATGTCTCACCGAACACTTCCACTACCGACTCAGCTTCCACCTCCCCTTCAAATACGCCTTCACCAACTTCACCATATTCCGCCGCCTCCATCTCACCGACACGCTCCTCAACCAATCGTTCCCGTTCCGGTTGTGCTGCAGTCTCTGCAAGCGCCTCAGACTCCAATTCGACTGGTGCGAACACAGACACACGTTCCGATTCAACCTGTTCTGCCGCTTCACTTTCTGCGTCCGCTTCAACTTGCCCCAATGTCTCACCGAACACTTCCACTACCGACTCAGCTTCCACCTCCCCTTCAAATACGCCTTCACCAACTTCACCATATTCCGCCGCCTCCATCTCACCGACACGCTCCTCAACCAATCGTTCCCGTTCCGGTTGTGCTGCAGTCTCTGCAAGCGCCTCAGACTCCAATTCGACTGGTGCGAACACAGACACACGTTCCGATTCAACCTGTTCTGCCGCTTCACTTTCTGCGTCCGCTTCAACTTGCCCCAATGTCTCACCGAACACTTCCACTACCGACTCAGCTTCCACCTCCCCTTCAAATACGCCTTCACCAACTTCACCATATTCCGCCGCCTCCATCTCACCGACACGCTCCTCAACCAATCGTTCCCGTTCCGGTTGTGCTGCAGTCTCTGCAAGCGCCTCAGACTCCAATTCGACTGGTGCGAACACAGACACACGTTCCGATTCAACCTGTTCTGCCGCTTCACTTTCTGCGTCCGCTTCAACTTGCCCCAATGTCTCACCGAACACTTCCACTACCGACTCAGCTTCCACCTCCCCTTCAAATACGCCTTCACCAACTTCACCATATTCCGCCGCCTCCATCTCACCGACACGCTCCTCAACCAATCGTTCCCGTTCCGGTTGTGCTGCAGTCTCTGCAAGCGCCTCAGACTCCAATTCGACTGGTGCGAACACAGACACACGTTCCGATTCAACCTGTTCTGCCGCTTCACTTTCTGCGTCCGCTTCAACTTGCCCCAATGTCTCACCGAACACTTCCACTACCGACTCAGCTTCCACCTCCCCTTCAAATACGCCTTCACCAACTTCACCATATTCCGCCGCCTCCATCTCACCGACACGCTCCTCAACCAATCGTTCCCGTTCCGGTTGTGCTGCAGTCTCTGCAAGCGCCTCAGACTCCAATTCGACTGGTGCGAACACAGACACACGTTCCGATTCAACCTGTTCTGCCGCTTCACTTTCTGCGTCCGCTTCAACTTGCCCCAATGTCTCACCGAACACTTCCACTACCGACTCAGCTTCCACCTCCCCTTCAAATACGCCTTCACCAACTTCACCATATTCCGCCGCCTCCATCTCACCGACACGCTCCTCAACCAATCGTTCCCGTTCCGGTTGTGCTGCAGTCTCTGCAAGCGCCTCAGACTCCAATTCGACTGGTGCGAACACAGACACACGTTCCGATTCAACCTGTTCTGCCGCTTCACTTTCTGCGTCCGCTTCAACTTGCCCCAATGTCTCACCGAACACTTCCACTACCGACTCAGCTTCCACCTCCCCTTCAAATACGCCTTCACCAACTTCACCATATTCCGCCGCCTCCATCTCACCGACACGCTCCTCAACCAATCGTTCCCGTTCCGGTTGTGCTGCAGTCTCTGCAAGCGCCTCAGACTCCAATTCGACTGGTGCGAACACAGACACACGTTCCGATTCAACCTGTTCTGCCGCTTCACTTTCTGCGTCCGCTTCAACTTGCCCCAATGTCTCACCGAACACTTCCACTACCGACTCAGCTTCCACCTCCCCTTCAAATACGCCTTCACCAACTTCACCATATTCCGCCGCCTCCATCTCACCGACACGCTCCTCAACCAATCGTTCCCGTTCCGGTTGTGCTGCAGTCTCTGCAAGCGCCTCAGACTCCAATTCGACTGGTGCGAACACAGACACACGTTCCGATTCAACCTGTTCTGCCGCTTCACTTTCTGCGTCCGCTTCAACTTGCCCCAATGTCTCACCGAACACTTCCACTACCGACTCAGCTTCCACCTCCCCTTCAAATACGCCTTCACCAACTTCACCATATTCCGCCGCCTCCATCTCACCGACACGCTCCTCAACCAATCGTTCCCGTTCCGGTTGTGCTGCAGTCTCTGCAAGCGCCTCAGACTCCAATTCGACTGGTGCGAACACAGACACACGTTCCGATTCAACCTGTTCTGCCGCTTCACTTTCTGCGTCCGCTTCAACTTGCCCCAATGTCTCACCGAACACTTCCACTACCGACTCAGCTTCCACCTCCCCTTCAAATACGCCTTCACCAACTTCACCATATTCCGCCGCCTCCATCTCACCGACACGCTCCTCAACCAATCCTTCCCGTTCCGGTTGTGCTGCAGTCTCTGCAAGCGCCTCAGACTCCAATTCGACTGGTGCGAACACAGACACACGTTCCGATTCAACCTGTTCTGCCGCTTCACTTTCTGCGTCCGCTTCAACTTGCCCCAATGTCTCACCGAACACTTCCACTACCGACTCAGCTTCCACCTCCCCTTCAAATACGCCTTCACCAACTTCACCATATTCCGCCGCCTCCATCTCACCGACACGCTCCTCAACCAATCGTTCCCGTTCCGGTTGTGCTGCAGTCTCTGCAAGCGCCTCAGACTCCAATTCGACTGGTGCGAACACAGACACACGTTCCGATTCAACCTGTTCTGCCGCTTCACTTTCTGCGTCCGCTTCAACTTGCCCCAATGTCTCACCGAACACTTCCACTACCGACTCAGCTTCCACCTCCCCTTCAAATACGCCTTCACCAACTTCACCATATTCCGCCGCCTCCATCTCACCGACACGCTCCTCAACCAATCGTTCCCGTTCCGGTTGTGCTGCAGTCTCTGCAAGCGCCTCAGACTCCAATTCGACTGGTGCGAACACAGACACACGTTCCGATTCAACCTGTTCTGCCGCTTCACTTTCTGCGTCCGCTTCAACTTGCCTCAACCTCTCATTGACCTCTTGTCCTGCCGATTTAGCTTTCACCGCTTCGTCGTACGATTTTATTTCTCTCTGTCTCTCTTGCTTTATTGCTGCTTCTGTCTCTTTTTTTTCTTCTTGTTTTTCTGATACTATTTCAGTTTCTTTTGTTTTCATAAGTTCGTCCTCTTCTTTACTTATTCTGTGTCTTACTATTTCTTTCATTGTTTTAAGTGCTCCTCCATCTATTTCTTCCAAGTCTTTTGAATATGTTTTAATCGCTGCTATCTTTCTCACATTGTTTTCCGTGTTTTCTTCGATACTTTCCTCACTGATCCTATAGCTTACTTGTTCTATTGTAGCATGTTTTATTTGTTTGGTTTCGTCTGACAATTCAATTTCTTTCTGTCCAACTATTATTTCAGATTGTATATCTCTCATGCTTGTTGGTTCTGCGCTGTAGGTTTGTTGTATTATTTCTTTCTCATTTTCTATTTTCACGTCTTCAATGGTCTCCAAAGCAGGTAACTGATCATGCTGTGTATCATGCATTAAATTTGGTGATGGCACATTGTTTATATTCAGGTCAGCTGCTTGTATGTCTAGGTTTTTATGACTGGTCGTTTCTTCCAGACGGTTTTGATCGATATTATATGATGCGCGTTTTTGAAATGAAGGTTGGATGTGTGTTGACAGGTTCGTTAATTTTCCAAAACAGAAGAAAGAGATGAAAGAAATATCAGAAAGCATATGCGATGCAATAAACAATAAAGAGGGGTAAAAATAACCGTGTAATTCAAGTGAATATTATTGCTGGAAAAGTAATCAAGTGAAACGATATAAAGAACTAATTATCTAAACGAATGATAAATGCACAGTATGATAATCGAACTTTTCGAATACTTTATGGACAAACGTGATTCTGATTGAGTTTGCTTTTCATTTTGTTCAACAAGTAGGCAACATGCACAAACAATTGTAGCTCGTAAAATACATGAGCTGAATTTTAGCCACCCGTAAAATGTGATAAGTTTGGGTATCGTTCTATCGATTTGTTAAGCAACTATCAACACATGAGCTTTATGTTAATATTATCTTCTTTCTGTTTAAGTATTAATATTTGAAAGACTAATCATTCAGTATTTTGCCCAAAAAATTCCATATTCTGATGGCTAGACTATGGACAAATCAACCAGATCGATAACGACGAGTCCTGGAGTTCGACATGAAATTCATTCATGCATACGGGTAAGCAGAGTTTTGGAATTATAGCGACTCATATAGCTCAGACAAGGTGAAAGAAGAATTTACAGAAAACTTTTGGACCTCCTCCAAAAGCGCTTTGATATATTAATAGTGGCTGGTGAGTTTAATCCTCAAGTACCTAGACTAAGTGAAACTGAACGACACCTAAGTGGATATTATGGTGTCGTGGACGGTCGAATATATAATGGTGACCGTCTGCTGAAACTATAAGCGAAACTATCTCGGAAAAATATGGGCTAATTATTCATTCTTTATTCAGGAGATTGGGTCAATGGGCAGACCACTTGAAGGACCAGTTCAACTGGCATTCAGCCACACTTCCGTTGCCCACAATCTCCAGTCAACCTGAATGGCAAACCAATGTAAGTACTGCGACTCTAAATGCAGTTGATAGGCTATAGAAAATCTGAAGTCAGGGACAGCAGCAGGCCTTGATAGGCTAACTCCTGGAACTTTTAAAGATGGTGGTCCAGTTTTAGCAGTGAAATCGACTGACAACTTAGTAAAATCCGCGAACTGGACGTTATCCTGACGCTGACAAAACGCAGAGTCTTCTGACCACCCTAAGCAGAGAATGTAAGCCTGTTCACAGTGAGATTCACCGCGTCAAATTGTAAAATGTTGATTCAGGATTGGATTGCATCGACACCTTAACTAGTGATAGGTAGTGAAGTATTTCAGCGAGTCGACCACTTCACCTATTTCGGCAGTCTCATCAGTGCAAATGGCCTGATGTGTGACGAAATCTCAGCACGGATACAGAAGGCTCGACTGGCTCTTGCCAACTTACGACAATTGTGGACGAAAGTAACCGATGGTTAGAGACCTAAAATGACATGGCTCAGAATTGTTTGCAATGGCGCAGGTGTATCCATTCATTGTGTTTGCTCAAATTTAAACTTCTGGATTCCTCATGATCTCTATCTTTCTATTTCTAAATTTATCTCACCGATTTATACTTCTCGAATCATATCTTTGAACCCTAATCTTCTCCATTACTGTTAATACTTCCACTATCTCTAACACTATGGGATTTTGAAGTGACAGTTGCGTATCTGTGATGATGCTGTATGGCAACCTGAACTTATGTACTCATGTTCGAAGTTCTACGTTGTAAGCAGGCATTTTGGTGTCACCTGAAGGTCATTCATAAGCTATAGTCTCTCTGTACAGCTATACATGCTGATGAAAATGTTCTCTTTCCATCTTAAAGCAGCGTTAATTTGTTTGTTGAGACCCTTAAATTCTTACTAAGATTTTTCACTTAGAATAAGAAATCGAACATTTTACAACTAAATAATTAAACTTATAGAGTAAATTACCATGATGCACATATTGATCTTCTGTAGTTGGAACTTCAGGTATCACTGAACTGATTTCTGTAATCATTTTTTCATTTACACCATGTGACAGTGACTGTTCTTCTGAAATCGAACGTTCAAAAACTCTATCAACCACTCTCTTTGTTGTTATTAAGCGTGTGATTACAGTTCCATCTGGTAATGTTTCTTCTACATGTTCCACCTACAATACGAAATGATGTTAGATTTCCATTAGAATATGTTACTCTAACAAGCTACAGACTTAATTGATTTTTAAACTTATGTGAATGATTAAAAATAGTTTAGGTTTGTTAACATAAATTCAATTAACGGCAGAATAAAGCCATTTTATTATTTCCATCGGATACTAGTATAAGAAGAAAATGCGACCGGTGTCGGAGACCATGCTACACTAGAGTGGATGCCCGACAGGTGCGATGTACCTAAATCGGGTCATTTGTTTACTGGATAACTAATAAGGTATACATATAAAGACATTTTGATGGTGTCCGGTTTCTTGGACTAGGTGATTTGATCGCATTACTTTCATTATGATTATAAGAGCGTACTTTATGCAGCTGACTGATTGATTGGAATCATGTAGAAATCAGCTTTCCAGTTATTTCATGAATGTTCAATCAGTTCGTTCAGATGGCTTCATTCGTGTTTCGTTTGCAAAATGTGTGTTTATCCGATATTTTAGATTGCTGTATATTAGATATGATTATGTTGGACACTGGTGGATTACGTCTGTAGTCTTTAATAAAATTTTTATTTGAAATTATATTCTAATTTACAACACTCTCAGACTATAAGGAAGAAAGGTAGCCAGAAAAGCTGAATTTGATACACATACTGAACAACGAAAGACGTTATGGATAACCATGGCGTCACACAATTTTTTATATCTAATGTAATGTAATGTGCTGTCTAGTCAAGTGATTTGTTGTAATTTTTTCAAACAATTAGTCCCTTTTATAAATTTTGATAGAACAATGAGGAGACGTAATTGATCTGAAAATTGTGATATATTTGCGCTTCACATTTCGAACAATCTGGACAATGGACATAAGGTGATAATTGTAAATGGAGAAGAGAGAAAATTGACGTAATATGAAAAGAATAAGAAAAAGTGGGAAACTGTCACAGTACCATAGGATTAAAGATTACCAGGGTAAATTCAATGTTATAACAAATTGTTTCTGTACATATAAGGGGGGTTTTAATTTACCAATAGCCAAGACATCATCTATAAACCTCAAAATTCGTCCTTCAACATTTCTATACAGTGTTTTGAAGGCTGTCTTGATGTCAGTCTAATGCCCTGTCTCAATTATGTTTTGGGATCGATGAACTTGGGTTTCTATTTCCCACGTTTATCGGTTCATCTGACGTTAACTGATTTTGAAGCCACTTAGGAACATGTTCCGTAACCTTTGATTGCGAAGCCCGATTACTTCTCCCTAGGTATGTGTGTCTTTTTATTAATCTTCCTAAAAAATGCCTTGATAGGTGTATGTAACCACCAAAATAAAAATTAATTTTGTTAGCTTACGTCTGTGATTTCTTCTGGTTTTTCAACTAAATAACCTCCAGATTCAAACGCTGCTTGTATACCCAGTTCCCATTCATCTGAACTAACTGATAGAGTGGTTTCTTCAAGTTCTGTGCGTTTTGTGACGACTGTACCATCAGGTAGAATTTCCTCAACTTCTTCAATCTCATGTGATTCTTTTGGCACTGACTGAATCGCACTGATACCGGCTGAATCTGAATGAAGCATATATTTTGTTTGAATCTGAGGTTGCTTTTCGAAAGGAGGTGTTTCAATATCAGATTCTTTAAGTAAGACTTCAGGTTCTACTACTTTAAATGATTGAACGCTGTCAATCGTTTTCCTTTCATGGACTATTACTGCTCTCTGATATGCATTTTCGAATAATTGTTCATCTTGCAAGTTTTCTGAGCACGGAGTAAGAAATTCTTCATTCAATTCTTCTTGCAGAGATGTATAGCTGAGTTCTAAAATATTGAAGCGTCAGATAAGTCATGCGCTATTTTATTAAATTTAGACAAAAAGGTCTAAAATTTGTTCTGTACTGATCTTTTGAAAATTTTATTTATAAGTGCGCACTCACAATGAAAATAATTATAACTCTTCAGTAACTTAAGTTTGAAAATCGTTACCCACTGCTAATCATTCGCTTACTGAAAAAGCAGTAAACTTTGAGAAATTACATTGATGTTCATGCATATCATTATTATGAGACCAAAACGGATATTCACTTAAAATGGTTAGTTTAGAGGTTCAAAAAGTATACTTGGTAGCACAAAAGAAACCTCTCAACAAAATAATAAACGTCCTGTACAGGACTACTAAACTATTACTAATGTATCTACAAGTCTGATAGATTAGTAAAATATTCAAATTCAGGGAAATGTGAACATCGAACGAACATCAACCAGTGAATTATTAAGATCTTTTTGACACTGAATAGCTGGTTCTATGGATTTTGTGACTTTAACAGTTCATAATAAAACCTTACGCTAGGTTCGATCCAAAACTTTCCATTCTCGAGATGAGCACGATTTTTGAGAAAAAAAGAGTAAGCATTTTCCACAAATTCCCGTTCAAACGACTTGTGATATGTTAGGAAACAAACGCCTGAACTGAATAATAACGATTTTACCAAACAACAAGCAAACTTTCTGACACAATTATGAAGCTTCTTGCTAAGAGAATTTCATTTGTCGACAGAAACCTATGCCACAATCAACTTGGTGCTTAAACAAATTTACTTCCAATAGAAAAATTTGATAGTGCTTAAAGGCATCAATAAATGAGATCTTAGTAGATCTAATAATGCTTAAGTTTAAGTCTCTACCAACATATGTCATTGAGAAAGAACGAACTATTATTGGAAGTAGTTTCTACTACTGAATTATTTTGATGTTATTTATTTCGATTAAGGTATTCAGTTTGGCTATTAGTCTGTGAAAAACCTAAACAAGATAAATTATTAAAGCATTGTCAAATTCGAGTGACTGACTGGACAGTTATTATTTTCATTAAGTCCACAAGTTGAATTGTATTCATTGATTAAGCAGTGTGATCACCATAAATTATATAGCTAGCATTGCTATAGCTAATGATAACAACTACTACCTTACCCAAAATGTTGTCTCTTACAAAAGTGTGTAATCTAACATCAATATGCTTAGTTTATCAAAATAATATCTAATTTAGAAGTCTGTCTGTCTGCTGATAAAGTTGTTGTTTCGACAGGTTGATTTCATACAAGAAATCAGACTCAATATTCTGTTGTATTTAAAATATGTGTAATAAATCATTTATTCCCTATTCATCATAATACACAAATAATATCAGTTTAGCACTCTGAAATTATCACCACTACGTTATAAATAATTTTCGTTGTAAATGGGATACCATAAACGATTCAGTATAAATATACATGTGGTATGTGTAAACCCACATATTTACCTTCCGTTGTTAGCAAAGACTTCATGGCTGACTGTTTGGCTGGGACTTGTTCTTTCAGTGTTTCATCTGTTTTTTGAGGTTTACTCACTCCTAAAACCTCAGTTGATGTATCTTCTTCAGTAGGGGAGATTTGCGGCATGACTGACTCAATACTCGGGGCAATCATAGACTCAGAATCTTTCGAAACGGAGATTTCCTGTGCCTTACGATCAAATTTCGTTTGTTCAATTATATCTTCCATTATTTCTTCATGATCGATTGGTAGTCGCTGATCAACTGGAATAAATTAAGCAAGAGAATATGTTTAGTGATGAATATTTCTATAACGGCGATACAAAATATTAAATTATTTTCTGAATGTTAGTTATTGCAGCAGCACCAACCATGAGTTTTCATAACCACTAAATATACTGACATCAAGTCTGCTTTAGTGCTGACCGGCTAAGATTTACAATGAATCTGGCTAGTGACTAATGTATAAGAAACCATCGTTTTCATTATTCGCACTGTTTTGAATACTAAAAATTAGTTCGATAGTGATAAGCTTGTGATTATTTTGAATTAAGGTGACAAATTGTAGTTTAGTGCTCCAAAGACTCGTTTTACTACCCATCTGATTCTTTGTGATCAGCTGAGAATTATATGTAATTCATAAACAGCAAGTGGCGAGAGAAACGCTAGCAAAAGAATACACGGTTTACTGCTTACTCAAATTACTCTAATCGGTTAATCTTTACTGAGGCTCTGTGTTTTGGATAGCAGGGATCAGGTGTTCTTAAGTAACTGATAATTTTTAAGAAATCCTAAACGTTTGATCATAGATTAATACAGTCTGAATAATTATTAAATTACATATTTTTAGGATAATAAATACATGCAGTAGGTGATGCACAGTCATTGGATTAGAATGAAATAAATTATTTATAAAAGACATAACTTGAGTTGATTTGTAATAAGACTTGCTACGAAACTAATATCAAATGAACGAATATTTTCACAGTAGCTTGGGATGGTACAGTCGTCTCATAATCCCCCTAAAATATACTGAAAGTTTAAAAACGTCCTGATTTACCAATGACTTTCAGAATAAATCTGTTGGTTGGTGACGAAAATCTGAATTCACTAAATCTTAACTAATAAGAGCTGATTAGTGGTGAGCTATTCAACTACAAGTTGATGGACAGAAAAATGGAAATCTCTGTCTCAGTTTACGATCTCCATTTCTAGTAAATGCCTAAGTTTATCATTATTTAGTAATCGGATTAGTATACGAAGGATTTGTAAAACGAAAAAGGTTTTCCTGCCGAAGAGAGAAGAATCATGGATCATTCTAGCTTAATTTTAATGAGAATATTAAAACGCTACTATGATTGTTATGCTTACCTGAAGCAGTGGATTCGTCAAATTGTGGTCCAATGGTATCTAATAAGTCCTGTACAACATATTCTATCACCTTTTTGTCAGTTGAAGTAGACTTGTGTTCAACATATTGACTTTTTGGTTTTATAAAAACTTCTGTTAGATGACTGTCAGGTTCTTCGATTCGTTTATCTGATGACTGACTGAAATTTGTTGGGAAATCTAAAAGAACACCAACTGATTTCAAATGTGTTAGTAAAGCTTCTTGCCAGTCGATACAGGGTTTTTCTTGACCAATGTCGTTTATGTGATTTAACTCTAGTACTTTATCTGGTACATTATCAACAGAAGTAAACACGGATGGAACGGTGTGGACATCAACAGAAAGTTTTTCTTGGTCTGTAACATCAGTCTGAGAAACAGACTGTAAAACGGTTGCTGATTCATGAAAATGACAATGAAATACACAAACAGAATGAGTTGTGCTATTCCATATCAAAATTTATAAAATTTTAAACCAGTTTATTAAAAAAAAAGAGAGAGTGGAACGATAAAGTTCCAATGGATGGATATTTTTAGTGAAGCTTGAGTTTAAATGTAATCCTGTGAAGGTGTGAAGCATTAAACGACTACTCATAGAGTTCTTTGGCAGTATAAAGAAATAAGTTTAAAAGAGAGTAATATATTTTACACAAAATGCTGTTTGGTTGCTATAAAGCAATGCTTGAGGATTCTAGTATCTTAAAATAATCAAGGGCTATTCGACTGCCAGCTGGTGTACTGATTAAAAAACTCCCTAAAACCACTTCCGTATTAACGTTTGAAGACTCTATCTCTAAGAATTAAGGAGAGATTTACTGATTTTAAAACAAGATTCATTTTAATCACAGTGGTGTAATTCTTGATGAATGAAAATCTCTGCATGTTTTAATTTAGGTTAAACACATTCAGTAAGTCTGGTTACGTGAATTCATGGTGTGGTCTGATCACTGTCTACGCTCACTGTTGATATTTTTATCAGGTCTCTGAATGCGACTAATTTCGGTTCGTTAAAAAAACAGACTATCGCGAATCCCCGATAAATACTTCAAAGTATTATAAATCAATTTCCAATCCTATCTTCATATTAGTTTGTGGCAAATCAATATTTTGGGGTTTGTTTTTCTCAAATCAAAATATTAGTTTTGTGGTTTATAAAAATGTCTTCAATCTATATGTCACATAGGATGCGTTCAGTTGACTCCGATCATAAAATACAGACTTTAAGCGAAGACAAGACTCAATCATTCTCTGGTAAATGTAGTGAAAATGTGGCAAGTTATATAAGGATTTGTACTCATTCCAATTGCCGTAAGCTGTTCAACATATTTGTGTTGAATTCATATATTTTGCCATTCAACCTGGGTTTCCAGTTGAAAAGAATTTGGAAATTATTTACTTATGATTTCTATAGGTATTACGTTTTAGATTATCACCTTAATAATTACGTGATGAAAGCTATTTCCAAAGAAGTTGCAGTACTTCCATATGCATTTGAGTTCGTTCATATTTAATTTGGCTAAACATTTTCATAAACTTTTTTAACCGAGTCATTTGTACAGCAATTACGTATATGTACCATTGGCTTTCACTACTGCCTGGTTTGTGCGAACTGATACAACTGAACATTGCTCACCGCCTACGCGCAAATTCATCCTTCTTGCTTTAACACTAGCCTCTTAAATATTTCGATGACTCATGCATATATATATATATATATATATATATATATATATATATATACAATTCTTATTGATTAATTCTCTCATTCGCTAACTCACTAACTCGCTAACTCGCTCATTCGCTCGCCTGCTTTTTTGGCACTCGAATATTGATTTGCGCTGGATGCCTCCGGTTTGGTGGTCGAATTGTGGTGTGCCAAGAGTAAACGTATTCAACATTTCATATTCGTCTTCTGAGGCGCTATTTAGTAACGGTTGTCTGGACGAGCAGCATACGAAGTGTAAGGATATATCGAATACCGACCACCACGAAACTAGTGAGACACTGGCCACCACAAAGTCTCTACTTCAAAACATTACTTCAATGTAAAATCAACTACATTAAATGGTGCCATTTTTTGATCAAATTTAAAGTTTTAGCTAGCGTATCGAAATTCCTACTGACATATTTTAGTAATTCATTGACATAGTATTCATCTCTTAACTAGCCGTTTCATATAGTTAGAAATAATTTGCTAAAAATGCAATTTACCTTCTGGTTTTCGAATGCCATCTGTTTCACCAGAAACCGAAATAGTCGAAACACCTTCATCTGACGAAAGAAATGCATTTTCAGACCAAGACAAAACTAGATCTGTATCTAATTTTCTCGTTTCTTCCTTTTCTTGATATTTCATATCTGCTTTAGTAATGATGAATAAATAGTAAATAAAATTTTTAATGAATACAACCTTTAGAATGTTTGTTTTTCAATAGCTGAAAGATACGCATCTTACAAGAATGCAGCTTGCAGGCCTACTTATTTATAGCCAACTTCGGTTTTTTTTTAATTTTGAGTACATAAAAATAATTCAGTATTTGCAAACTTATTAACTCCTAGGTTTCCTATTCAGTCGCACCTATCATTGAAAAGTAAACCAATGTTGATCATTTGATAGATATTGAGCGTTCACAAACAAATCGAGTTTGTTAGATGGTTTTTAAATTGATTCATTAGATATTCACTGAGTTATTCGCTAGTTTGCTTATTGAAATGAGAACGATAGTTCTTGATTAGGTTGTACTACTTTCCCATTGTAGATGCATCAAAACAAAGCTGGTGGTGTGCACACACACTAATGACACAGGTACGATAAATTTAATTGATAAATTTGGAATTAATTACGACTAGTCAAGTTTTATAGGTGAACGAAACAGGTGGACAATCATGTATATAACACAACAATTCCAGGCACATTCACCCAGGGGGCTTCATAAAATAGTGACTATCTCAATAGTCCCTCACTTAAAATTATTTCGTTTTGCATAGTTTTATTACTGCACTGATTAAAGCACAATCTTTTTACACGTTTAAGTTTTATTCCTAATTAATTTTCCATCTCGAAAGGAGAAAGGAAAGTCTTACTTACTTACAGGGTGGCAGTGAGTGAATGCATACCCATGTAAATATTTTTAACCTAGACAAAACATATAAAGTTGATTCTTGGTTATGGCACCTTTATAAAACTATGGAATCCAGTTAAACGAATGGCAACCTCACAGGGAATCTTCAATGACTTTGTCATGAAATATGTAAGGGTACACTGACTATTTCTTTATTTAAAGAAGAGAAGTCGCACAAACATCAAGTAGTCTATCAGCAGTGTCAACATTTTAATTTAAATCACCTCTTATTTGTTGTTTTCACTACATTTCATAGCTTGCTTGGATATACTTTTTTCCATCAACTACCTAACTTTGTGAAAACTCGTCATTGCTGTCTAGTTACGCATCGTTCGTGTTTTTTGGTAGCCAAAATGATGGTTACAAAGTCACGTAAATTATCCCCATTTTCGTTACTGTAAAGATAATGTTAGACAGCATGTCACTTGCATGTCACAATTTACATGCAACAGTAAATGGAGGTAATAAAGTAAGCTCAAACTCAGACATCACTATCACTAGTCTTGTATCTTTCAAATGGTTCCTTTATTCGGATCTTTTTATTACGTTTAAGTGTCCCACTAATAGAATGCAGTTCGAAACGTTGTATAATAATTCCTATAACTACGAAATTAGTTGCAATAACAATAATAATCTATAATAGGTTGCGAAAGGCATCTAATTTAAGTAACCTGGAGAACTATCTGTTTCTTTGCGTCTCGGATACGTTAGTACTTCGTTTGTTGTTGCATTTGGCAAAATCTCTTCAGCAACCGAAGGCAGGATAGGGCGTTCTTCCAAGACTTTGGTTGCAGTTGTTATTTCCTCTTTTGCCGTTACTGGTTGTACGTCAGTCATGCTTGGATGAATAGCATCAGATCGATTTATTTTGATGAGCGCATCAGCCAGACAATTACCTACGTGTATGATAATGATAAAATAAAAACAAAAAATACAAATGTAGTAATAATGAACTAATTTTACACGAAAGACAGAAACTAATCCTTATCATGAAAGAAAATATAACGAAACACAAATCATCAGACGATTTCCAAAAAGCCAATTCTAGATGTTATAATTTTTGCTAACAACTGGCCTAATAAATGAACTACTAACTAGGTTTCAAAATCACTTCCGTTATTAAATGAAGATGAAAAGAGAGGCTATCTTGTTCTCATTAAAAGTGAACTGAAATGGGTAACGTATGTATTAAAATGATTATTGTTTTGATCAACAAAGATGATTTGTGAAAAGGATTTTATGGTTGTCAGAAGAGTGGTAACAAAGGTTGACATAAGATTTGGATTATTATAAGTTCATTTATCTTGTTGATCGACTGATTGAGCTACAAGATCTAATGGCTAACCACTTCTTCGTTTAGTCTATCATAACATGATACAAATTGAGCAGTTATAAGGAGTTAAACATAGTAATGAGATTTCTTTGGTGAAGGACTAATTATATGACAGAAATTCTAATCGATCTTCGTTTCAGGTTGATAATTTTCTTTTTTAATTTTGACGTGTTTACTGTAACTAATGAAGTTTAGTGAATAAATAAAAAGCCATTACCATTCTTGTTACTGCAAAACAGGAACAGTGATACTTTTTTCTTCATTTTTATTTCCGAGAGCTACTAGTTCATAAAACTTCATCCGCCCTAAGCATATTACAAAGCTTCACCTGTGAGAATGCGCTACTATTCAAAAAGCCATGAAAAGAATGCGCTCCAACATCACAAAGAGTGGATCACTGCTGGTACACAGAATGAGATTCAAGTAAGGAAGAACATTAATACACCAATCAATAACATCTGAACAAGAGCAGAAAAAGTGAAGACACAGGTCACATACACACAAGCAAGCAAGTCAGTGAAAAAAAGCATAACTGCTGATATGATATAGAATATCCAGCAACGAACACAGAAAAAACTGAAAGCGAAGGAAATATGAAACAACTATACGGTACAACGGAGAAGCTCGCTGGAAAATATCGTAAACCAGAACGACCAGTCAAAAACATTGAATGCAAACCATTCACTGAGTTTCTTCCTTCAGTGGACTTCAATAGATTATCCTATTGTTAATGTCAAACTAAGTTATTAGGATGGCAGAAGCATCATCTATTGAGATTCAAAAACTAGAGGTTTATATACAGAAGAAATTTGTTCAGCCTCTAAGATATCCTATTTTGACTGATGTACATACAGTTTTCCCCATTATAATTTAAATTTATAATATTCGAATCCTGTTATTATTATTATTATTCACATACTTTCGCATTAGTTTTCACATTATTGTTGTTATTACTAGTATTACCACTACTAGTATTGAAATTTTTTAGGATGAACTCTAATTTACTATTTCTTACGTAATTCATATCACTTTTTGCACCCGACTATGTTGACTAAACATGTGGTGTGATTTGCGATTGTATTATTTATTGTTGAAAGCATGAAGCAATCATTGCTAGACCACCATTTAGAAACCTGGAAACATCGGTATGGGACCTATCAGCAGGGCGCATCCACAACTTCCGCAGGAATCGAACACGGGACCTTTGGTCTTGTGTGCGAACGCTTAAACGCTGGACCACTGAGCCGGAATCCAGAGGTTTTAATGCCTAACTCGGATTAACCTAAGGTTTTGCACAACCTTAACCATTGTCTTTGGTAGTTACTGCCTACACGGTAGGGCTAAGCTCCACTGACCATATCATTATTATTTCTCTCACCTGATATGTTGGGGACGTCAGATCTCCAGAACTCACTTGATAAAGGTCCTAATTTTGTATTTTTTGTGTTTGTTCATGGGCTAACTGATATGTTCGTCACTTAGGATGCTTGAGGCTATTACGAGTTTACCTTAGTCGATAAACGCGAACGAGATTTTTACCAGCTTCCAGGAAGGCTACCCTGAATCCCAGAATCGAAATAGAAGACCTTGTAGGCGTAGAAGTATATTCTACAAGCACCCAGCAATCCCAGTACAATCAAGCATACAACTCTCGTTTATTTATACAACATAACAACGTCCTTGAGACAGTTAAGAAAATAGCATACTAAAATACACTGTAGCCAATCACAGCCATTGATTTTCCTGGTGGGAATTGAAATCTCAAGGTCATTTGATCAGCCCCTGCTGGCGAAACGTACAAACCAAAATACGGCATTATCATGCGAATTTTGGGGATCTAACATCCCCAACACTCCTCCCCTTTTTAATAGCGTGTTCTCCTGTGGTTGACTTGCATCTTGACTATTGTTCGCCGCTGTCTGAGTGGATACCTTCGGGAACGAAGAACAGCTTGCTGCTGAGTTTCTTCTCGTGGCGGGGCTCTCGGTAGGTTGAAGGTATCAAGCAAGATGTCAAGGGGAAGGCTTTCTGCTCTTGATGGGCGATCTGGGGCTAGCCGTCTGCGTATCTGATTGCGATGACGTGACCATTTATCACCTCCTACCTCTACTTCGTACATAACTCGACCAACCCTTCTGACCACTCTCGCTTCTACCCAAGGACCATGGTTCGTTCTGTAGTCGCGGGCAAACACAGGGCATCCCACCTCGTAAGCGGATTGTCTTTACTGCTTTGTCTCTACTGATGAGGGTGCATTGGTCGGATGCATCAGGCTGTGAATCGTTTTCAATCTTCTTCCCATCAGGATTTCAGCTGGGGACTTTTGCTCCGGTAACAATTCATTTGGTGTTGTCCGATAGACGTACAAGAAATTTTGTAACGTTTCGGCTGGCGTCCCCTCCCCTTTTGACTTGAGCAGTGCTCTTTTAAACGTATCCACAAACCTTTCCGCCTGCCCATTCGATTGCGGGTGGTATGGTGGCGAGCGTAAGTGTTTAATAGCTAGCCGTTGACAGAAATTCTGGAATTGGGAAGAGGTGAATTGAGAGCCATTGTCGGATACGATCACATCTGGTATGCCATTCCGTGAGAAAATTTCAGTTAGGAGCTGTATAGTCTTAGTTGTAGTGGGCGGCGTAACGGGGCTGATTTCCGGCCATTTAGAAAAGGCGTCGACGACAATTAAATACATAGTTCCATTTATTGGGCCAGCGAAGTCGACATGTATCCTGGACCAAGGATGCTCAGGTTTGGGCCATGAAACCGGCGGAATTTTGGCATTCATCTTTGCCGCCTGTTGACACCGCATGCATTTTTCAACCAACGCTGTGACATGTTGATCCATGTGAGGCCAGTATGCATAACTTCTGGCTATGGACTTCATTCGTTTAATCCCAGGATGACCAAGATGGAACTGTCTCAGCACTTTTGCACGAAGGGATGCTGGCACCACTACTCTTTCACCAAACATAAGACAATCGTTCACGATGCATAGTGAATCCCGCCGCTGATACAGTTGCTTGATGTCACCTTCAAACTTTTTCGACGGCCAACCTTTAGTGACATATTTCATCGTCATCTTGATGATGGGGTCGTTTCTAGAAGCATTTTGTATGTCTGTTGCAGACACCGGTAATGCGCGAACTGCGGTTGTCAGATAACATTCTGCGTGGTCTTCTACTGACAGAGATGCGATCACCATGTTTTCCTCAGCCGCCACTTGATCATTAATGAGTCGTGACAAAGCGTCTGCTTGACCGAATTGTAGAGTGCGTCGATATTGGATTTCGAAATCATACCCCAAAAGTACCAAGGCCCATCGCTGAAGACGATTTGCAGAATGGGCTGGAATGCCCGACTTTGAACCAAATATTGCTAACAGAGGCTTGTGATCTGTGAGGAGCGTGAATCTCCGACCGTACAGAAACTTATGGAAACGGCGAACAGCAAACACAAGGGCAAGAGCTTCTTTCTCTATCTGGCTATACTTCTTTTCTGCTGGGGTCAGTGTACGGGATGCATGCATAACGGCTTTTTCTGACGCGTCTGGAAACTGATGTGAAATAACAGCACCTAGGCCATATGCTGAAGCGTCTGCTGCTACGATGATCGGCATGGATGGGTCGTAGTGTGTTAATAACAATTCCGAGCTAATTATAGACTTGAGTTTACCAAAAGCCGCGTCACACTCTTTATTCCAGTTCCATGTGCTATGCTTCTGCAGTAGACAATTCAATGGAGCGCGAATATCATGCATCGAGGGAACAAAAGCTGAATAATAACTGATCAAACCGAGAAAAGATCGTAATTCGGAAACATTAGTGGGAGTAGGCATCAGTTTGATAGCTCGGATGTTTTCAGGATCCGGTCTGCGACCGTCGGCATCAAAGATAAATCCCAAATACTTTACCGACTGCAATAGAAACTGGCATTTTTCTGGGCGTAACCGGAAACCATTGTCACTGATGCGTTGTAGTACCAATGTCGTGCGTTCCCGTAGCTGTTCTAACGTCTTCGCAACAATCAAGATATCATCGAGATAAGCTGCAACCCCTGGGATATCTGACAGGATTGTATCCATTAGTTGTTGGAAGATAGACGGCGCAGTCTTAACTCCAAAAGGTAGACGGTTATACTGAAACAAACCGCGATGAGTGTTGATAGTAAGCAGCTCTTTAGATGCTTCATCGACTTCCACTTGCAAATAAGCATCAGCTAGGTCAAGCTTTGCGAAGAACTTTCCTCCATTCAGCATAGTGAACAGATCTGCTGGAACTGGCAGAGGATAATGATGCTGTTCTAGAGCTGCGTTGAGACCTGTAGAGAAGTCAGCACATATACGTATCGTTCCGTTGGCCTTCTTGATAACGACTATAGGTGCTGCCCAACTGGAGTAAGAAACGGGAGTAATAACTCCTTGTCGTTGAAGGCGATCCAGCTCTTCATCTACTGTTGCTAATGTAGCATACGGTACAGGTCTCTTTGGACGAAAAGTAGGCTTAGCCCCATGTTTCAACCGAAGTGTTGCTTTCATAGCAGTGCACCGACCTAATCCAGGTTCAAAAATGGTTGAAAACTCTGTCATCAGCTTCTTCGTATACGCTTGTGGGTCATGTCGTTGTGATACCAGGTTGCATATGGTATTTAGCGGGACATCAGCCAATTTTAGCTGGTCGAACCAATCTAAACCAAGTAAATTTAGATCAGCTGGCGTTATATAGCATACCCCAGTAAACGACGAATCCCGGAAAGCAACTTTACATTCCAATTGTCCTAACAGACGAAGATAATTACCACATGCTGTGCGAGGCTTTTGTGTTGTGTGCTGCAGGCTTGGGCTGCCCAACTTGGTCCAATTTTTGCGTGAGAGGATAGTGACATCAGATGCAGTATCTATTTGCATTCTACACAAATAACCGTTAATATTAAGAGTAATAAATTTCCTCTCACCTGGTGATGAACTTTGGCAGGAAGATATTAGGTTCAATGCATTGGTACTGGATCTAGGAACAGGCTTCTTAGCACTTCTGGATCGCTTTGGCTTTTTCTGTAGGCAAAAGCCATCTTTATGACCGATGACTTTACACTTCCTGCATCTATGCTGCCTAAATGGGCAGTTCCGTACATAGTGCCATGAACCGCAGTGCCAGCAAGCAGAAGGTGGATTCATTTTGGGTTTTTGGGCCGAATTGGAATTTTTCTTTTCACTAATGGAATGCACGTATGATGAGAGGCCCTTGTTTTCGACCATGGAGGTATCATGCTTCAAGTTTACTAATCTCTGGCACTCTGCAGTTATTTCTTGAAGCGAGATGTTTGGGCACTGTTCAATTTTACTTAGGATTCTGGTTCTTATATCAGCATCGTCGGGAGATTGTAAGCTGCACACAAACACAAGGCACTTAAACTGATCTTCCGTCATTGATGATAATTTAAATCGTTCGCATTCACGATTTACTAAGCCAGCATGCTTTACCCAGTCATCTTCATTTGACTTGATTATTTTGAGGCATTGATAACGAATATTAAAGAGAGATGACTGTTCAGAGAAGATTTGCGACAGCGTATCAATTGTAGCATCAAAAGAGAAATCTCGTGGGTTCTTTGGGAGGATGAAATTACTGTAACGTTCGTGTTCGATTGTGCCGAGCTTTCTCAAAAGGATTCTGACTTTGGTGGCGTCATCAAGATTGTTGAGGTCGACCTTGAACAAATCCTCATACTTCTTAAACCAAGACTCGAAAGTCACACCAGCAAGGCCATCAAAATGAAATTCATGAATGGAATTAACTATCGAGTCTGTATGCGGATTATATGAATCATCGGCAAAACCTCTGTGATTCAAATTCATTTGTTTCATTAACAGCTCCAACATACGTTCCTGGAACTGTTCATATCGTCTACCTTGACGTTCCAGTAAAGATTCTAACTGTTCAAGATTAATTGACATTGTGAATTGTGAGCCCCGTCGCCACTGATATGTTCGTCACTTAGGATGCTTGAGGCTATTACGAGTTTACCTTAGTCGATAAACGCGAACGAGATTTTTACCAGCTTCCAGGAAGGCTACCCTGAATCCCAGAATCGAAATAGAAGACCTTGTAGGCGTAGAAGTATATTCTACAAGCACCCAGCAATCCCAGTACAATCAAGCATACAACTCTCGTTTATTTATACAACATAACAACGTCCTTGAGACAGTTAAGAAAATAGCATACTAAAATACACTGTAGCCAATCACAGCCATTGATTTTCCTGGTGGGAATTGAAATCTCAAGGTCATTTGATCAGCCCCTGCTGGCGAAACGTAAAAACCAAAATACGGCATTATCATGCGAATTTTGGGGATCTAACATCCCCAACACTAACCAGCTGACCTTCAGATTAAATTTCTGACCAGGTAAATCCTCGGAGTTTATTGGTTGATGTATTATTTTAGTGCGCTATTGTGTGGCTCTCCCAAGGACGTTTCTATCTGGTATAAATAAACTGGACTTGTGTGTTTGTCAACCTCGATTTTCTGGGTGCATGTGGATCACACTTTCTACGCCATATCAAGACTTCTTCCTCTACTTAGTGGGGCCTTGAGACGCTCTGATTAGAGTAGCCTGTAGTATCAATGGATCATTTGTCTTCGCTGTCGTTTACCGAGTAAGGCGAACTCGCAATAGCTTCAAGCATATCACTTGACGAGCATAACACGATAATATATTCATTCTGATTGTTGATCACATTTTCAACTGACCCACAAAGAGATTTAAGTTAACACTGCATATGAGTCATCTATAAAGATACTAACCAGTTTATTTTATTTTCCACAGTCCCAAATTCACACACCATAATTTTTAACGATGTACTTATCTCAAACTCGACTTTTTTCTGGATGTACAATTAGGATATGTTGAAAAGAATACTTTCCATTTGATAGAAAATGACAGACTAGCATTTAAACATAACCACTAGGTTGAAGTCAAAATAGTTGTAGTATATTTCATTGATTTATGTAGAGTACTTTGACAATCATTTAGCCGACAAAGAAATTTCGTAGATCACTTACCTAAAGCATCTTTGTCTCTTATACCCGATGACGCTAATCGATGTTGCCATAAGACAAGCATATTCTCCGCCCGTTGATTTTCAATCGTACCACCAGATGTCCTATAATTCAATGGGATTCTTTCAATATTCTTAATATCCTGTTCAGAGAAACCAAGAAGAGGTGCTAATCGTCTCCAATCTTCCCCGATTTCAAGTGACAGCATTTGACGATCAAGCTCAGAACGCCCAATTATACCCGGTTCTACATAAAAAAGAAAATGGTTATAAGTGACCAAAATTAGAAACGTCATTTAACGAGGCTCAGAATGAATCAGAAAATCAACAGGAAAACCTAACTTATTTATCCAAAAGAGAGAGATTCGGCCTCAATGTTAACCTTGGTCCAAGACAGGATCAGCAGAAGCCTAAACAGGATATTATAAATCTCTCATCTTGTCTCCTATTTTTTTTGTATTTATAACTTTCTTAATCAACACAATAATCTTTGCCACTTCACATGAATATATCTTATCATAATTACACAGCGCTCACATAACAAATATCCGCACAATTATTATTATTATTATTTCCATTGTCGAGACGACATTTTTCCTATTTACACGATTTATCATACTATTGTGCTGATTACAACTTGACACTTTACTTTGACTCATTCTGACCTTTATTAAATAACTTTTCTAATTTACAAATGACACCATCTTGAAGTATTTATGCCCTAACAGTTGCAAAAATTCTCCAATTTTAACATATAGCGCGCTGCCTAATTCATTAATACATGCCTTATTTTCACCTTCTCAAAAATAACCCAATAATTACTGAAGTTACAACTATAGAGCCCGGATGAAAAATTACTTGAAAACAATTGTCCTCTCAAATATTTTTTTTATCTTGTAATGGATCAGTCAAATTCAATTTAGCTACTGAAATCTTACTAAATTCACTTGCCGATCAGTTAAAAATATTGTTCAATAAGGTCAGTGAATCAAATTTAACAATTCCATACTTTCAAAATAACTAAACACGAAAATCAAGAGTAGATAAAGCTTCTAACTAAAGCTTTCAACAACATTTTATATGATCATTGTTGTTTGTAGGGGGGAAACAAGTTATATGAATGCAAAATGAAATAATTTCATTATTCTGTGTACTTGGGCGATTGTGTACACGAGGGTTAATTAACTTAACAAATCTTAACTACCTAGCCATTGTATGTCATTGAATGTCATAAATCTTATTCATAAGCGACAACTCCTATTTTCTCATGAATTGTTAATGTGAATATAACTATATAACAAACTGACTAATAATTCAGTACTAGTGAAGAAGTTGACCACATATTTGTGTGACAAACAATATTTTAAAAAAACTAAAACCGTAAGACAAAGCTAACAAAAGAACTTTTTTAAAATACTGATAGTAGAAGCTTTGGACCAATATTATACAAGAAGAAAAATCTATTAATCATATTTAATTCAACCAAAGATTACAGGTTTTTGTGACGGCAATGTGAAGGCTAAAAATACTAATCAGTAGCCAGAAATAGAAGACAAATAGAAGAAAAGTGAATTCACATTATCTGATAGATCAGATATACAGGTCTTTAAACATCATCCTTCACAAGGAACACTTCTGATGCTTAACCATGTACTTAATTCATTCTAAAAAATATTTAGGATCTGAATATGTGTCGTAATTACAAAAAAAAAAAACCGTTTTAGATATATACTGTGGTAGAATGAATTTTCTAGACTGTGAACAGGATAGGATTTGAGAGATTATTCTTATTTAAGGGATATTGAAAGTCCTCTTAACACTTCTGAATAAGAACTATGATTAAAATGACTGGTAATGACACTTCACGATTCGTTTGGTTACTTTTAAGTCCCATAATCTTTACTAATTGAGCTTGAAAAATATTAGACTTGGAAAATTCATTCTTTTTGTTAAGTTTTTCAAAGAGTTGAAATTATGAAAAAATACGGTTGGTTAAATAACAGGCATTCAGTAATAAAATAATCATATATGTGTGATATTTCAATGGAAAGAAATTAGTATTGTTAACGTTCATTGGAAATTACCATGTCAAACTTGTATTCTGGTTTTTTGAATGTATCAAGATTGATATAAATCATTATTCTTCATAAGCTAAATCTCATATCGAAGTTATCAATGACCCAAGTAACAATCTAAATGTACCTACGAATTTAAAATTCCTTTTCAATCACTGTCATCTGAAATTATAGTGAAGGTTTTTCAACTAAACTATCTATATAAGGAAACATAACATCACTAGGAAAGTAATGTGTTTTCTGCTTTTCTCGAAAGATCTGAAACAATGGTGCAATGGAACATATGGGGAATTGTGCACATCACTATGTAAAATTCAAAATCATTCAAGTGTGACAATAGTAGAATATGTCGGGCTACTTGATACACACTCAAACCATTAAAATTTGACTTTCTCATATATCTTTCGACGTTACCTCTTGTAGGTATGACAACATTTTGGTCTGGGTTCGGAAGTTTGAATTCTAGTAGAGTAAGTGGACGTTGCGTTTGAGAGCTAGTCGTATCCAAATTAGTTTGAATTTTGCGAGGTTCACGCATAAATGCGACTTTCCCGGTAACTGTATTCGCATCTGGTTCTTGATCTAGTACGTCTCGCAAACGAACTGGGAATGTGATTCGATTCTCGTGGAATGGTCGGACGGTAAAATTCAACTGCTCTCCGGATCTTAACACTGGTACCAGATTTCCAACCATTTCAATCCAGATAGGCTTGTTTTGTTCAATCTAAAATTAAAGTAATAACGAGGCAAAACATTATTGTAGTCTACTCCATTTTATATAAATTAGAAGGAAATATAGCGCAGGACATATGTTGGTGCATAAGAAAGAAGGTACAGAAGAAAACGTACTGAGATTAAAAAATCCAACATGATGGAATCAAATAAAGTTAAAGTATATCACAACTCTGTCTGGAGCCCCTCTGGGGTTACTGCAGGTCCTAAGCCCGAATAAAGGAGTAGAGTTGAACATGGGGTTGATGACCCCATCCCGTAGAAAACTGACTAGCTAAAAAAAGCTAACCAGAATAAAATAATTCAAACCGTTTAAACTCTGCCCTAGAAGTTAAAAGGTTTTCATTTACAAGAGCTATGACTTCTCATGATAAAACCCGAGTTCCTTCGGATGTCGCGTGTCCGATGTCTCTTCTGATAACCAGAGTCGTTCCGCAGAGTGAGCAGCCGGGAAGTGATATCCACCCTCATAAGCACAACAGCACATGAAGCTAAATTGGCTACAATCAAATCCCCCCTATACTTTATAATAACCCTCTTACCCCCATGACCAAGCATTCTCGCGTGCCTTTTATGATTCCAGTACGTTAAACGCTATTCCTGGTCTCCTGAATCCCCGTTCTAAACTAAGTATTTGAGCTCTTAATGTTCGAACCCTAAAGAAAATATGACAACAGGCTTCCTCAGCTAAGACTTTAGAATCTCGCACTATCAATATTTGCTGCGTCTCCGGAACGCGCATACAGGATCCGAGTCAAATCAGTAATTTGATTCCAATTTATCCAGATGGAAAATCAACTTGGTTTACGCTTTGTGTATCTGGAACCCCCAATGTTGCACCCCATCACCTGGCTGGTGTATTTATAGCATTGAGTCCTAGGGCAGAACTAGTTCTCTTAGACTGGATCCTGGTAGACAGTCGCTTATGCGCTATCCAACTAAACGGGACAGTAAGAACTTAGACTTGGAAACATAGACACTCGCCGTTGCCTTTTCGTTGTCTCTGACTACGTTCCCACTAACTTCAACCCAGATGAGGTAAAAGATGAGTTTTACAGAAAGCTTCCCAACCTTCTCCAAAAACCTAACCATTCTGATATAGTAATAGTGGCTGGTGGTTTTTTAATGCTCAACTAGGCAGATTAAGTGAAACGGGAAGACAACTAGTCAGATCTTATGGTGTCGCAGCTCAGAGAACAGATAGTGGCGGCCGTCTGCTGTAACTATGCTCAAATAACCGCCTATTTCTGGTAAAAACCGACTTTAACATAAGGAAAAACATCTTTTGACACGGAGAAACACGAAGTTGTCCCAACACTGCATCCAACTATATCACCCCGACGAAATGTAAAATGTTGACTCAGGATTGGCTCGCATCGATACTTGAACTAGTGATAGCGTAGTGAAGGAGAACACAGGTGAGGGCAACCAAATTGTATTTAACGAAAATTACAGAGTTACTCAGTAAAATAAGAAAACCATATCGTAAATCGTTAATTTGCAAAACATCAATCCATTGTCTGACATTTCACTGATCTTGCGTTTCATACAAATGCCATTGTGTTCCCACTCTTCCTTTCTTGATCTTCGCCCATTTTCTGCTGCCAGACATTACGTTTTCACTCGCGTCATATACTACTTATAAGTAGCGCGCACCACAATAGGGAGTGAAGTAATTCAGCGAGTCGACCACTTCACCTATTTCGGCAGTCTCATCAGTGCAAATCGCCTGATGTGTGACGAAATCTCAGCACAGAAACAGAAGGCTCGACTGGATATTGCCAACCTACGTCACTTGTGGAGTAGGCGAGATATCCGTCTGCTAACCAAAAGGCTAGTCTACTGCGCAGCATTTCGCTGCGTTCTACTATATGGATGCGAAACATGGCCGGTAAGAGTAGACGACATTCGTAAGTTATTAGTATTCGATTCTAGATGTCTTCAAAGCATTGCTCACATATCCTGGGACATCCGAGTAAGCAATGCTGTCGTTAGGAAACGAGTACTAGATCAATAAAGTATTGAAATTTCATCAGTTGCGGTGGTTGGCACATGTGTTACGAATGCCCAATTACCGACTGCCTCATCTAGCTATGTTTTGTGGTGTAGGAGTAGGCTGAAAGAAAGCTAGGGGTGGCCAAAACAAAACATGGCAGAAATGCATGAAGTCACTGACAAGTGGACTGAGTCATGTTGGTAGATGTAGGCTACCTGGTTGGGGTCCGCGATACGGAAGTAACCGATGGTTAGAGACCTAGAATGACATGGCTCAAAATTGTTTACGATGGCGCGGGTGCATTAATTCTTTGTGTTCTCCGAAATTCTGATTTAGGCTCATCATGACCTTCACCGTTCTCGTCTCAAATCTATGTCACTAGGTTATGCTTCTTGAATAATATCTTCCTATCGTGATCTTCCAGACTACCGCTCATATTATTATTATTGACAAAGGAACTACAAAATAAAAACTAGTCACTAATTTTCTAAACAATTCTTAATAGCTTTCACGTCTTTTTTCAGACCTGTTAATAAGCGAAATGGTGGTTTTCTAGAAAACAAAATAATGTGACCAGATATGTATAATGTTGCACCTGCACACCGCAGAAATGTCTATTATCTAATACACCACTAAGAACATGATTTTATTGGGTGTTTACTTTGGACGATCAAGACACTTAACAAGATTCATTATTATATGTCACTAACATTTTCATTAAAATCAATCAATCAATGTTAGACTACAATTAGAAACCTGGAAGCACTGCACGACCGTTTCTTTTCAGCATGGGACTCATCATCAGTTGGGCTTCACGACCATCACATACGGGGATCGAACCCCGGACCTTCGGTCTTAGGGGTGTAAAGGTTAAAGTTTTCGCACGGAAGACCCAAGGTCCTGCGTTCGTTCTCCACATGTGGTGATCGTGCAACGCACTGATGTTGAGTCCCATACTGACACGAAGCAGCCGTTCAGTGCTTCCAGGTTACCAATGGTGGTCTAACAACGATGGATTCATGATTTCAATGAAACTCGACAACCTGTAACCAAAACACTAACATTTTTTAACAAAGCAAGAAACGAGTTTGGGATTTTCGGGATTCAAATAAGATAATTTATTTCCTAAAATTGTATTGATTTACTCTGAAGAAGTGACTTACATCAAGTTACGAAATGTCAGAAACACAAATTCCTACTCTTCGGTATATCACCAAAAAAATATAATTATTTTACTAGTATTATTATCATTTATATTTCAACCCAGCACAGGATGTTAATTTTTATCATTCTAAAACACTCAAAATTACGAAATTATCGTTTACAAATAGAGCCACTAGACCACCATAAGTTTGAGCTATTTCCTAAATTTCGAACTGAAAATTACGCTGGCTTTCTCAAATCTGATTGCTAAGACTGTAAAGCATAGTTTAACTTGTTGTTAAAAAAGTGCACATCTTTTGAATTCAAACAAATATTGTTAAAAACTGGGATTATGATTATTATAGCTTCTATCTAGAACACTAATGTGAAAAGGGAAACAAAGAGACCATGACAGAAAACAGTGGCTTATTTTAGGATCATCGTTGCACCTAGTTTGGAGTCTGCTAAATATACTACCCATTATTCTTATTTCTAACTTATTCTATAAATCTTAAGCTTTAGTTTGACGTATGATTCATTACCATACTATGTTTTGTTGCACAATTATTGAAATTTAAGTCTAACCCCCGTACTCACACTTATTCAAGTTTCCTTTTTCGTTAACTGCATCAGTAATGAATCGGCTTGTGTTGTAGTCGTTTAGTCTTCTCTCTCTCGGATAATAGAATAGTTTACTTTTCTCTGCCCAAGGTCGTTTATTCACGACCGGACTTACTCACAACCAGTCTCAAAGTTAAATAGATAGCCTATCTCGTCAAGGCCGTTAAACTATATCGAGACAAAATTATCTCATGTGCATTTGAGTGCAGATGACTCAACGGCGTAACAAATATATTCATCAAAATTTAATGAAATTCACGTGAGTTACTAGTTAACTTCAGTAACAATTTAATGTGTATCAGTCTCTATGGTTTAAAAAAGTCAAAGTAAAATATACTATTACATCAGGCAGAAAGTCCCTGATTGGTGGGTAAAATTTAGGATATTTTTATAAACGAGTTAGACCGCGCCTATTAAACACAATAGAAGTTGTATAACACTGAAATTTAAAGAAAGTGCATTTATTCCGTAGATCGTTTAGGGAATAACTTAAGTAATTTTCATCAATATATTTGTTTGACCAATAGAAAGTTAAGGAATTCGAGTAAAAAAATTTGGAAAACAAGGACAAAGTTAACTGCATGTTCAGAAGTATCTGTAAAACAAAGCAACAGTTTATTAATATGCGTCCGTTTAATTGGGTTCAAGAAAATGATAAACATGATAAACATTCTTAACCCATCAGCACCAGTAGAAAGAGAATCTAATGGACCCAGTTTCATCAAAGCATCCTCCAAGATAAAGAAAGACGGGATTACAATGAATAACATCCACTACTATGAGCATACGAACGATAAAGATCAACTTTATGAAAAGCTGCAGCCAATCGTTAAGAAATGCTCAGGTAGGAACCTGACTATTTTGTGGAAAAACCTGAACTTCAAGGTTGAAATGGACACACTGGATATGAAGCCATCATGGGACGACATGTACTGGAAGAAGGAACGAAAGTGATACCAGAAATGTAAATCTATGTGCCTTCAACATACTGGTTATAGGAAACATCATATTGGTCAATCAATTGGCTGAATATAAGAGGTCTGCGATTGTTTGACCACTTATTGCCTTGAAATATCCAGCCATAATGAAATCATAAAACGCACGCTTATCATACCGGACATTTTTTTAGTTAACAAATAAATGTTAAAGGGTAATGTGGACCTACGCTGATTGACATAATTTATGTCAGCCGTTTAAAGATCCAAGCTATGTTGAAAGGAGTTTAAGGCAACAGAATAACTGAAATGACAAAACGAAGAAATAACATATAATTGCAGACCGAATTATTGTTTGTCCGATTCTATTCAGGTTACTGTTATAAATCTTTTCTATGAGAACATGATATCACGCCTAATTGGCTAGAGTGTACCAATGTTAAGCATTTGTCAAAAACAAATAACATCTCATGATTCTAAATCTTTTATCTCGTGTTTTTTTATCATTAGGATGTGTAGTAACTAGGATGGATAAATATTATTCTAGATATTTGACATCTTAAGTAATGAGTTCAAGTAAGAGACTTTTATACTGCTTGCAATCAATACTTAAATAAAATATGCCTAGTTTACATTTATTTTCAAGAACATTTACATATTAGCAATTGATTCGCTTTACGATACCGAAAGTAACGGCTGACGTTTTGTAGTGTGATTTTGAGCAATACGCAAACAGCCAGAAGATTGTGATTTGGAAAATAAGCTATCTTTCAAGCAGTTCATTGTCTGAACTTGGAAAAATATTGAAAATGGTTATGTTAATGCTTTAGAAATTCATTTTCATGATTTTACTACATATCACGATACGATACTGCCTTGATATTCTAGCTGTCAATTAAGCAGTTTTGGAAAGTGTACTGACAGGTTTCGTTTGGTATTTAGAGCATGCTCAATTTGAGAATGCAAATAAAGAGGAAAGCTTTGTGTACATGACTGTATAAATGATGCAGATAAATAACATCACAGACATTTCACCTAATAGTACGCACCAACAAATTAAAGTCGATGCATTGCTTATGAATCAAAAGGTTCTAAACAACACTAAAAAATAGAGATTTTGAATTATCTTTTGACGGTAGTCGATAAGTTTTGATGCCAAAAAATGTCTCAATCATTCGCCCGTTCTATAATGAGGATCGGTATTTAGGAAAATCTAAATTTCTTGTTAAAACCTTAAATGATAATAGATGATATCTCAAGATACAAATATTTGTCTGAATACATATATCTATACATGTATTGGCTCAATATGTCAAATTTCGAATTAGCACAGTGACAGCATTTCAATGGAGAGGAAAACATAGAGATTAAAATCCTATTACCTTTGGTGAAATCGAGGATAAAATCTGGGCACACACTTATAGGAGGCGTATATGAAAACAAGTGATAATTGAAGAGGGGACTATCATTTTTATAATGCTCTGAAATTTGTTTCAGTTATCGTTTGTCTCTTTGGCTTACAACAAGTCAAAAGTGTATTTTTATAAACATATGATGAACAATCCACTTTAAACAAATTCTGCAATTTTCCGAATGTACTAATAAACTATTATTCTTATAACCCCAATCATGTTACCTCGTGCGTCTTCATCATACATTTTTGATTTGTTGTTAAACAAAGATACGGAGGGTAAATCGAACATATTTCACACCAATAAAAATGTTATTCCGCTTTTAATGATTACCTATAGCAATGCACACCCTTCTGATAATCCTTCTTTTGCTGGCGCTATTTTAAATGGATACCAAAACAGTGAACAATGGTATTAATAAAAAAAGTGTATAAGTTATGGATAAATGAGACTTGATCACGGAATTTAACCTGAACAATCGCACTCTTCACCTTAAAAGAGATCCTATGTAATGGATGAATAAATTACAAAACCTATGTCTAGGGTAACTTGACGATAATTCTCATTCATTTGAATAGACAGTTTCAAATAAGCATTCATACATTTGTTAAATAACTATTCTTATGAGTGCTAACAAAGGAATTAGTCACACATTTATTGATTTATTGTGGCGTTAAAATTTCGTTATCTTCGATCTCCCGTATATCTCCGTCTTGATGATCGCTAAGAGAGAATACGAGTCGTTGCCACAATTTCTTTATTATTCAAATTATTTAATGATCGATACAAATATCGGATTTAATTCAAATATGTATAATCGATATCGACATCGAATTATTCAAACTGTTAATAACTATATGTGTAGGTGGCAAGTAATGCCCAAGCGTACATGCGCATACAAGCTCAACAATGATGAAAGTACAAGATATATGTGAGGTGCTACAGATTTACTTACTTCTACAAATGGACCGATAGCAACTTGACAATAGTGCTCCAAACACTCCAAAGTCTTATCATTATTGTCATCTGTCAGACAGACACATCTAATATGAGCGAATTCGGTTGCGAAATGTTTGATACGTGAAATACTTCTTTTCATATCTTGAACATGCGCAAGTTGTCTTGGTAGTTTATCTGGAGTTTCGAGTTCTATTTCTGCATCCAGATCGGTTGATTGACGCGCATAAATAACAAATCTTCCAAAAATTGGTGGTTGAATACTTTCACTATAAATGCGAGTTGCAAGCTCTGAGACTGGAATACCAGAAGGGCAATCCATTAACCATAATCTGTTTTAAATAAGGTACAAATGAACAAATATTAAGAAACAAATGTAATCTTTCTTTTTGTAAAGACTATTAATGTACTCTACTGTTTGGGCAAATAAAATGAAACAGAAATCACTGCATGATGATCATACAACAAGCAATCTGGGATAAAGTGAATTTATTTCGTTTCATGTGCTCTATAGCTCTAATACAGTTATGAAAAGAATCTTCAGAGTGAAGTTCGTTAATCCTCAAGATCAACGTTCAAGCAAAACTTCTTTTATGTTAGGCTGCTCAAAAGCGGTTTAGAAATTTCTTCGGTAGATAGAATGAGGCATTGAGCTCTTGTTGTTTATTGTCATCGTTAAGTCCTGGTAAATCATTTTATTTTGAACTTGGATGTGAATTGAAAATTTGGATGAGCTGAATCGAAACATCGAAATAAGTGATCAACATGATATTTATTATTACAAATGATCGAAGTATTGTCAACATATCTCAAATACAATGACATTGGTTTTTATCTTACCCTTTAGTTAGATGTTTTCTAGTTGTGCTAGAAAAATATCATGTAATGTAGAGTCTGGTAGTTCGTTCATGGCAACATCCTCAGTTTATTGTTGATGCTTTCCATTAGATTGAAACTACACATATTTTGTTCACAGTAGTAATAACTCTTTAACTATATTTTCCGGAAAATCTATCCAATCAAACTGTAAATGGTTTAACGTCCGCTTGTAGTGGGACGTCAATGAATAAAAATTCCTAATCGACAGAAAACATATACTTTCCTTTAAATTCGATCCCACTAATTCTATGCACACATTCAAAACTGACTTGTAAAATGTGTAAAGATGGTTTCTGTTTATGAGTTCAATCAACCGGGTAAGCCAACGCCAAGTGGTCTTGTAGTATAATTGATTATACATTGCTAAGAAAGTTCATGGAGAGACACAAGTTTTATGAATCAGCAAGTAGAACAGTCTTGGTTCCGAGTAATCATAGATTGATTAATGCATTAATGAAAGGATGGTCGCCATTATTTTATCTGTGCAGTCTATTAATTATAGCTGAATCGAGGGACCACCACTGATACGAGTGAAGAGTTATTTACTCCAAACATGATGATTCTAGTTGAAAATACCACTTATTTAAATATTGATTTGTAAACCCATTCAATGAGAAAAAAGCCGCATAAATGAAAAAATGCACAGAATTATAGCTTATCACATCATGCATGTCATGTTAAACATAGTTCACATTACTACAAAGAATATCCTAAATAAACATAACACTGAAATAAACCAGCATTATGCAGAATAAAACCAATAATACAATGGATAACCCGTTATGTTGAATTAAGAACGAAATCAGTGTTTAACAAAATTCATGGATTCAAAAATTCAATTTGCCTTTTCATCCAGTCATATCAGTTTGTCACTTCAAGAGCTGATTCAGAAACTACGAAATTTTAGTTTACCGAGTCTCGTCTTTTCGAGGTTTGTACAACGGAGTATGTGGAAGATTTAGATGAAACGAAATAAAATTAATTCCCTTCGTCACACAGTATTCTACAATCGATACCTTTCGAGTACTATGATGTAACAGTAGTACTTTTTAAAGTTTTGAAAGAGATATTTTCAGTCCCATCGTTGATAAAAATCAAATGTATTAGGATATAGCAGTCAAAGTTGATTAAATTAGACCGGTCATTACTGAGTGACCTCAGTCAAATATAATTCATGTAGCGAGATTGCCATTTTGGTTAAACATTCCTGAGTGGTTTCTTTGAGATCTACAGCTATTCATATTACCAGTGAAAAGACAGCTAATATATATGCTTAAGACAATTAGTCCCTTTTATAACTTTTGATAGAAGACGTGATTGATCTGAAAAATATGATGTATTTGCCCGATACATTTCGAAAAATCTGGTCACACATATTAACTTGTCAAGGCACTTTATACGAAGATTAATAAAAGGACACATATACAATGGAGGAGTAATCGGACTTTGCAATCAAGGGTTATGGAACGTCAGATGAGCAATGTTCATCGATCGCAAAACAAATTATTGAGACAGCGCATAAGATTGACATCAAGACAGCCTTCAAAACATTGTATAGAAATGTTGAAGGACGAATTTCGAGGTTTATAGATGATGTCTTGGCTATTGGTAAATTAAAACCCCACCTTGTGTGCAGAAACAGTTTGTCATAACCTTGAATTTACCTTGGTAATCTTTAAGCTTAGGGTAATGTGACAATTTTCCTATCCTTTCTTATTGTCTATATTACGTTCTTTTTCTCTCTCCTTTATTTACAATTATCACCTTATGTCTATTTGAACTTTTATCTAATTGACCTTTTATTCATCTTTTTTGACCTTTTATTTATTCAGTACATGGCTACTTTTGTATGGTACTGAATAACTACTTTAAGAAGTCTTCTGTTCAAATGCAAACAAGAATTAATAGCTCTAAAAACATAACTGTTTCAGGGAAGCACAAATATGCATTATGTTGAGTGCAAGTTATAGCAACCCATATGCATTTGAGTTTGTTTACATTTAACTTGGTTAAGCCTTTTTATTAACTTATTTAACAGAGCCTCATCCGTACAGCAATCATTTAGCTATACCATAGTCCTTTCATTATTGTTGAGCTTGTATGCGCAGGTATGCTTGGCATTGCTTACCGCCTACGCACATATTCATTCTACAAGCTTTAATGTTATTTTTAAATAATTCGATAACAGTATCGACCATTACGTTTATGATGAAAAGGTAGCATTTCTCAGCATGGAATCTATAAATTGAACTGGCACAAGCATTCGCATTATGGAGCAACGTTTATCAGGACGAATACTATGCAAAGTTTAGGAATATATCGAATACCCACCGCCATAAATCATGAAACTAGTGATCTAAGTCGTGAGAGTTTTTAAGATTAAATGTTAATGAGCAGTTCAAAAATGAAAACAATGTTGATTATCTCATGTTATTTTACACTGACCTATGAGATAAAATCCTTTTTTTGTATAAAATGTAAGGACTCAAACTTGCATTAAATGAGACACTTATTTGAAATTGTAGTAAATTTATGCCACTTGATTCGCCAATTGTTTACAAGAATAAACAGAAGACTAACTTACCTGGCAGAAACAGTTGTAGTAAATGAAACACAATCTTTGTGACGTGTCATAGGTGTTGAACCAGTTATGTCTTCCCATACAGCTGCATTTATCCCGCCAGATAAGCTACATAGAAGTCGAAGTTTTGATGCGTTATTTGTTGTATCTGGACTAGTTTTAGCTGAATGACGTGGAACCGGTATTGTAAGTGTGATGGGCTTGTGAAATTTGCGTCGCCTTGGCTCGATGCTTACGACAGGAGATACAGAAACATGATCACCTGCTAAACGGCTGATGATATCATTATGGATAAGTTGGGCCTAGAAAAAAATATAAGTACCATGCTGTTAAAAACTTTTATGATGAATATATATTCCATAAAATCCTATTACATTTACAAATATACAAATACAATGAATATAGCTAAATAAATCACATACTTGCAAGCCAACTTTAATTCTTTTTTGAAGTGATCCTGGAGGAAACACAGCTTGAACTTGTGGTGCTACTGTGGAGCTGATCAGTCCACCGTCTGAACCAATGAAAGCAACTTCTTGACGAAATCTCGAAATCAAAGCGAAATATTGTGGAAAGTCATAAGTCAATATCCGGTGAATGCGTTTGTTAAGACTTGAAGTATTCAAGTCGGAATGATCTGAATTTCGAACAAAATGAAAGCAAAGAGATCAAGAATATATATACATAATCTTAAACAAAAACTAAGCCAAGTGAAACGACATTTGTTTATAAGATAAGGTTAGTTTCAGAAATAAATCAGCTTGCTTGGTTGGTAATTTCTTACTCTTTGCCTTTGTGACTATACTGGATACTGCCAACAGGAACACTATTAACGGCTTAAGATTGAATGGAAACTGTGACAGTAACTAAATTTATTCTGAAATAAAGCCACTGACTATTAAAGCACCAAACCATTGATATTTAAAAGTGATAAAGAACAAGGATTCCTGAAAGATAAGAAGGGTTTGAGTAACATGAGCAGCTACAAAATAAAGATAATGTAAATTCGCTTCATTTCGACGACTGAGAATTTTTGGAACGGCTTCTATATTCTACTACCATTGTGGATGCACCTGAGTTGGTAGAATGACCTGCAAGTCCACCATAGCTTTATTAGTTACTGCTTAGCGCAGCTGAGTCTACCATGCATAAATCCAATATTATTGCATTTACTCAATACAAAACGCAAAATTGACAAAGCTCCGAACAATTGCGGTCATTTGCAGAGGCATAGGTATTATTAAAGATATGTATGTGTTCGTTTACTAAGCGTAACTTTTACAAAAGCCACGAATCATTCATGACCAAGCTGCTGCATCAAAAATCATTTGTTGCATCTCTTTCTCTCAAGTGAAATAAACCATTAAATCACAAAAATAATTCTCTAGCCTGATCCCATTGCTGTGTAAGTACTACTTTCTTTTTTACTATTACTAACGGTCGTACTCTAAATCTGATAATTTATCCATTAGTTTTAATAACAGACTAACTTAATGGTGAACTCTCGTATGATATCTTGGTTATGATTACTTTGTTTTAATTTAGATACTAGACTACAGCTAGTTCTTTTCCCTTTTTTAGATTAAGTGATTCTCACTTATTTTCCGTCATTATCGATTACGGTTATGTGGCCTTTCAGTCAGTGTTCCAATATAGAACCAATCAAAGAATGTGAATCATTATTCAGAATAGATTGAATCTGATCGAAGATTAAATACAAAGACTTTTCTTCCTGGTTCAGACCCATCAACTGAACGTTTGCATTCAATGTCGATGTTCACATTGACGCTTAAATTCAGTACTTTCTGTTTGATACCCTAACATATTATTCACTGAGCTTCTGGGGAGCTGACGAACAGAAGAATGTTTATAGTAGGGCTATCAACACTATGGAAACATTAAATTTGGATTCCGAACGAAACCTTATACCGATAAAATGTCGAAAATAGTTTATTTACGTTCGGAGTTGGGAGCATGAATACTGGAGACATTTTGTGCGATTTTCTTTCCCTGAGTTTTATACGTAACGTCAATTATAACAAAGACTAAACCTTATTGCACCAATGAGTTAGGTGCTTCTAGCTCGTCCCTTCCTTCAGATGATGAAAACATGGGCCACTTCCAAAAAGGTTCGACGCCCACATGCAGTTTTTCGGAATACAGTAAGGGACTGACTACGGAAATAAAAATTTTAGGGCTGAGTAATTGTATTTCCATGTCTCCTTATCTCCCTTATCCTTAGATCAACAACAGATGTAGTTTCATATATTTGTATTGAATATCGAGGCTGAGAATATTTATTTTGGTGGTGTTGGTGTTAGAGTTCCGATTAAAAAAGAACTAGCCAGGCAACTAACAGTTTACGGGAACCAAGCTTTCTGAAATTTTATTATGTAGGATAGCCATCGCAAAGAAAACAATTTTTATATTAAATTTGTATGCTGAATGAAAGAGCATCTTCAAAGGCTGACGACATCTCCAGCGATTCGAAGGTACGTTTCTCCAAATTTCCAATAAACAAATTAAACAGACCGTTGGTTCTGAAGGTCCTTCTTTCGTCCTTGTGTAGTGAACGAAAACACCAAGACCACATGAAATATTGTTTGCTTACAAATACGTACACCTTATATTCAGGCTTCATTTGCAAAACAAGTAGATTCTTGGTTTTCTTTCATATGTCTCACAGTCTTCCGTACCATTCATTATAATCCGACGCTCTTCTTTCCGGTAGTAACTTCTGGGCGAAATCACTGAATACTACTTAAAACCCAAGTTGTGTGTGGTATCCATCACTTCCATCACTTGACAGATCAACTGAAGAGCATTTGTTCTTTACTGTTGTTGGGAGCTGCAGCCTTTCTTGTAATCAACTTCGTTTACAAACCAAAAGCGAATCATTACACAAGATGTGTGCAGTATATGTCTCCGTGTATCTGAGCAATCAAAATTTCTAGGTGAGTTTGAAAGTTTTCCCAATGTTGACTTAAAAAATAGTTTTGAAACATCATTCAGCTGAAGGATGCAATATGACGTGGACGGATAGCTGCGGTGCTATTTCTTCCATAAATGTGGTCAGAAGAACAGAGCTTGCAGGTTCACAGACATCATAGAAACTAACGGCACATATTAACTTGATCACTGTAGTTTAGTGAGGTCCTAGCAACTTCTTTATACCTCTGTCAAGTGATTATATGATTACTCATACTGATTATTTCCACCTAATCTTCTGTATATTCAGTTTTCTTAAAGAACATTTATTGAAAAAACTGTCATACTTCTTTAATTAAGCCAGATGTCTTTTGAAAAATATTATCATCAAATAAATAACTTGTATATGCTGAATAAGTCATTACTGAGACTATGAAAATCCTATCACAAATTCATACTGTACATTTACGTTGTAACGGTTGCTTAAGATATTTCCCGGCTAAATCTTATTGCTTAGTATTCTTGACATAAAACACTGGACAAGTGACCCAAATCAGAACACGGTTGAACAGGAAGGATTGTATATTCCAAAATAGCAAGGAAAAAGAAGCTGGAGGTGATTGCGAAAGCCAAGGCAAAGAAGGCAAGAAGGCTTGAAGGCAAAGATAAATACAATGCTAGTCTATTTATAGCCTTTACGTGAGAAAGCTTCTGGAAGAAAATTCACGTGATCGACTGGACTGGATCTGGCCAATCAGCATGCAGCTAATAATACGAGAATTTTCTGTCCTGTTCTTCAAGCTTCGATCAGGCGCAGCAACGTAGTCGTGCTTCAATTCCATCTATGTCCCGCTAACAATTTGTTTACAATATTACGTTTATCACTTCCGTACTGTTGCACTTAAGCTTCCGATGGACTTAGTCAATTTTTTTCAGATTTCAACTACCAAAATAAGAGCAACCTCATTGGTTAAACAGTTTGGATGAGAAAACAAGTATAGTTGTTCATCCTTCAGTTCTCTATTCGAAATAAATGCATAGTGCTGAGAAAACAGTATTTATTGATCGAGATGTTTAAAACTACATTTCCATTGGTCTAGAGTCAGCGGAGAGAAGGGTACAACGAAATATAATTTTACAACCTAAAGAATTTAAATCCTACTGACTATACATTATTCAGCCAGAATCTACAGAGAAGTTCACCACTAGCCGTTGCATACCTTGACATTTAATACAAACTGCAAAGTAAAAAGGTTTCGGCTATGGATAACATACAAGTTTTTATTAGACTTCAGTGCAGAGGAGTCTTCTCAAACTACATTTTGGACACGCATTAATAGTTGTGAATCATTTATATGGACGTATTGAGGGGCAGTTGTTATTCTTGTTGTATTTAAAGTTTCCCAAACAAAAAACCTATGGAATTACAGAGATAGATATCTTAAAGAACTATCTTCCTACAAATTTTCATAATATTCCGCAGTCTTCCCCAGGATTGTCAAAGATTCGAATTATCTTCCGCTTTACCATTAACGATTACACATTTTCAGTAAAGAATAACTGTCCTATGAGCTTTATTTTTACTTCAATGATCCTAAAAATGTACTATTTCGAAATGACGGGTTATTGAACCCGAGCTATTACTAAGGTTGAAGATTTGAAAAACGATATGCTTAGTATACCTGATTAGATGGCTTAACAGCAATAGTGTTGATTTGGGGTGTCAGTTTCGTAAGTCTATTTTCTAAAATATCTAAAAGTTTGAACTGAGTAAAAAAATAACTAAAGTAAATACATGACGAGTATCTGACGACGTTATCTGCTTGGCATACAATGTAAACCACAAGATCAGGAATACGTATATTAAACTAAACGCAAAAAGCAAAGCAATCAGCTTACCAAATGCATCACTCAATGAATCATTTATCGCCAGCTCAGTCGATTCTAATGTGTGTTCTTTCCATGAATTTCCCGTTTCACTCCTAATTATTAGGACTTCACGTTCTCTTCCTCTAACAGATGCAATATGGGGCACTTCAATAAGGACGGGCAAAGTGAAACGCATCTGAGTTGGATTCATTTCAATAACCCTACGTAGGAAAAAACAAAAATTACCATAGCACAAAGTAACAAAGTGTTGATCGCCAGTTTACAATCAGATGGAAAGCTTTAATTCATTGGATTAATTACACGTGGGCTATCAATTATGTTTACAATTGTTGACCTGTTTTTACTCCTTTTATGTTTGTGTTAACGATTTGTAACTTATTTCAGGTTTCGATGGGGTTTTATTCTCTGAGCTTGGCAGTTTAACTTGGCACTGAAAAGATGACGATTTCATTTCGCCTGTCTCTTGCAGTGTGCAAAATATGTGGAGCTCACAGGGCTTGTCCCAGCTTTTGGAAAAATTAGTTAATCCATTCTTCTCGAGTTATTCACACGCCTTCTGACCTTGCCAATTATTCGCTTATATCTTAGTTGCTTCTATTCGAGTATGTTTACTTCTCCTATTACATATCTACCCTATTTTGCCTGACTGTAAATAGTCATGTGCCATCTCCTTGAGTTGGCTACCGTAACTTCACTTCTCTTCTCTTTGGTTGTACGCTTTGTATTCTCATGTCCGTCTGTGTGAACCAGTGAATGAAATAAATTCATCCGCAAACCATATTTGGCCTCTTATTGCCACCGTCGGCACAAGTGTGGTTCAGCTGATATACGGAAATTGAAGGGAAGATTTATTTTATAGCATATTCAGTCGTTCGTACAAGCCGGAGTCAGATCGCAGGCCACTAAACGCTATTTCTAATTCAGAAAATGATCAAAATAATATAATCCTTAGACAGTGTTCATATTTGCATTTGCATGAATTTATAGGCTATTACCACTGAGATTTCATGATGTGCAGTTGGAAAGCCTGTGTGATAAGACACGGAAACTGTAAGCGGTGTCCACCTTGTAATGCGTTAGGTATATAAATTGATCGACAGTCTTTAAGGAAATGGTGGAGAAGATTAACAACTCTGGTGAATGCTTTCAGCAGTTATGCATTCTCTGATATGTTTGCTTTGAATAGGAAACTTTCATTGTAGTTCTAGACAGCTTCAGTTACTAGGCCAAGTAAGAGTAGTGGAAAAGAAGTTTGGTATTTCTGACCCAATGGAAGTGTTTAAACATGCTCATCATATCGAAAGGCATCTGTAAATGAAGGATATTCTATTCAAGAAATTTCTATCATATTCTACGATCACAAATTCTAACTGATAGTTCGGAAGAATGATAAGATTATTCCTTTAGTAGGTAACAAACAACAAAGATTTGCAAATTCCCAGATTTAACTGAAAAGAACTGTTTTCTTTTAAGGGTACAATATCTTACAGTTATGTAACCAAGGAAAAAGTCGAACTACTTACCGACAGGCTAAACAATCACCGTCATTAAAAACTGGAGGATTGTCAATAGTTTCTGGACGGAGTAGACGACAAATTATACGTAAAGGTCCAGAAACTGCATTAGGTGGTACAAGAAATCGTAAACCAGGTCGTCTTTGAGCCTCGACTAAACCACCTCGAGCATCGATGATGAAGGAGATAAGAAACCTTTAAAGTTAATGATAAACGAATTGCAACATACCCTGATTTTATCAAATTCTTTGCGGAATGAACATTATCTACATCGAAATCCCATTCTGATTGAGCAGCGGGTGAAGCTTCAGTAACAGTCATCTGAAGTAGTTGTTGTGAAGTTGAAAATGGATCAACCTACATAAAGAGAATCAATGCACAATGGATGCATGAGTATTTCAGTAATATTTAATTCAATCACAAAGTAGCACTGGACTTTTTCAACAATTTTCAGCTATTATTATTTTCATTTTTAGCAGTAAGATCAAACGTTTTCGTATTCTGAAGTGAACATAGCACATTATGGAGCTTGAAAGAACAAAGTATCTGGTTAATATGATAAGACGACGAAGATAATCGGAATTATGTGACATCTTTGTGCAATACATACATAAAACTGAGTATTCATGATTTGTAATTAAGGGTAACTGAATAGATACGAAATCGGTCACAAAAACATCTGAACTTTATTTAATGGTCGAATGAGATCACAATATAGGCAAATATCTTTCACTATTCTAAAACATTCGAATTATACCAGTCAAAATTTTGATATCAAATCAGCCTTTATAGTGTTATACAAAAGTTTTCAAGGGCGTAAAAACTAAAGCATATTGAAGTTCTGGCTACATAAAAACTTGAAAATCCATGTATGTATTCAAAGAGAATTTGCTCTCATCCTTAACCTATCCTGGTTATACTGAGCTGTTTTATGCAGAGTGGTTTTCACATTATTTTTCACATGATATACTTTGTTAAAAGTTTTGTTTCCTTTTACCTCCTAATTTGTGTAGTAAAGCTTTCACTTTTTCATACAAAATATCTCAACAAGTATACAAGTGATCAGATTTTTGGAAATGTTTTGGGCAAATATATCACATGATTCCGATAACCTTCATTTTTGCATTGCATCACCCAAATTGATATCTGACATACTAAATGTTTGATATGTCTGAAAAAAATATTACACCTGAATACTTTTACATATCACTAATAGGCTTAATGTTTGAATTAGGAAACTTGTCATTTACTTGATATCCGTTTACCGTTATCAGTTATGAAAGCTTATTACTGATTGTAAACTGAGTTTGGACTGGTCATATGCTCTGATCAATATACGGTAATGAAGTGTTAAGAGGATAGAATTTCTCGGCCTATGTTAACTCGTAGGCGCTTTATGCAAAATTCTTGATACTGTTTTTAAGTACGGTGTAATTGTTTTTAAAGTTGAGGATTCATTGTGAAAGGTAGGACAAAAGGTTCGTTATAAATTTGATATTTATGAGCAGCATAGTCACGTTCTGGAGCAAAAACTAATCTCTGAGATCACAAAGTCAGTATAAACATTTATTTTTAAGAAACTAACAAGTTATAAGGATCATCTACTGTACTTTAGTTGATTTAGTGGGAGTACTAATAGTACTTAACTAGCGGATGAATGGTATACAAAAAGAAATGCAAAAGGCTCTGGATTAAGCCATTCAATCGAAAATATAAATAACTCCTTTTGATCGATAACACACGTTGTACGAAAGGTGTTTGCAGCAATTCATTTTTCGCTAGTAATGTTGTTTATCTTCTTTTTTTATGTACACAATCTTGCCAGAAAAATGCTTACTTGTCATACACATTATGCATTAGTGAACACGGTTTTGGTTTTGTTGTTGTTATCAAAGAATTCTATCGATCTAGTGACCTTATAAAGTCAATGTGTGTACCCAGTAATAATATAATTAATTTTTGAAAACATAAACACACATTTCAGAAAATTTATGCTTTATTAAGATTGACAGTAGCAATTAGTAGATGAAGTGCGCCAGAGACAAGTACCTACAAGGTTTCAATTAATCGGTCCCACTGAGAAGTACCATAATAAATTTCTAATGCGTCAAATAATTGGTAACTGAGAGGTTAGGACATGGCAGTAACTGCAAAAATGCTGCACGCCATCTTCAACAAGATTTTGGAAGAACAAGAACTACCAACAAATCTGAAAGAGAGATACTTCATCCAGATATCACAAAAGCAGATCTCAGCATTTGCGGGGACTACAGAGGAGTCACATTATTATCAGTACCAGGCGAATTCTTCAGCAGGGTGTTGTTAAACCGGATAAAATATTCAGTAGACGTCCGACTTCGAGATCAATATATCAGCTTCTTTGAGAATGGAACATGCACTGACTAAATTTTGACACTACGTTTGAATCGCATCATAATACAGCAGTTTCCTTGACTATGAGAAAGTATTTGAGAGAGTGGACAGAAGAACATTCTGTAACATACTACGGTGTACCTGAGAAGATAATCAACAGTATACGAAGTTGTCACGACGTACTGCGCTGCAAAATCACATATGCACAATAGTTCACAGACTCAGACCGGCGTCAAACAAGGTTGCTTACTCTAAAACTTTTTTTTACTTCTTATTGTTGACTGGATTGTCAAAATGTCAACATCCCAGGAAAAGCATTCATTAGACACCTCGAATGTGGATGGACAATTCAAAGTTCGCAGATGGCTTAGCCCTTCTATCCCACACACAACAATAAATATTGATAAAGACGGCCAGTGTAGCAGTAGCAGCCTCTGAAACAGAATGCCTCAACATACAAAACGGAGATAGTAGAATCCTCCCATATTACATAGCATGCCCCAAGCAAACCACACTTGAAAGAAAAGTTTTCAATGAAGTGGGAACCTTCACATACATAGGCAGCAACATTGATAAACAATGTGGATCTGATGCAGATGTGATTACATGGATTCGCAAAACAACGACAGTATTTCTACAACTCAATGACATCTGGAACTCAAAACAACTGACAACAAACACCAAAGTCACAATTTTCAATGCAAATGTCAAGACAATTCTACCATATGGGGTGGAAACTTGGAGAACTACCAAACCCATCATTCATAAGATACAAGTGTTCATTAACAGTTGCCTACGCAGGATACTGAGTATCCGTCGGTCAGACACCAACAGCAACAACCTTCTGTGGGAGAGAACAAACAAGATTCCATCTGTGGAAGAAATTAGAGGAGAGATCTATGGAAGTAAAGGATACACATTGGAGAAATCACCAAACTGCATCTCGATGCAGGTCTTCATTTGGAATCCTCCATGCCAAACGAAAAGAGGAACACAAAAGAACGCATTACGCCGAGAATCGGAGACAGACATGGAAAGAACGAACAGCGATTGAGAAGAACTAGTAAGGAGAGTCAAAGACACAGTTGATTGGAGAATACTGGTGAGCGGCCTACGCTCCACGAAGAGCAACAGCCGTAAATAATTTAGTAAGCGAGAGGTTAGAGAAGTAAATGATAAAGGATATTAAAAATATGAGTTTTTCAAATTATCTACTTTCATAGATTTGAAGACCTTGTTCACTCTATAATGTTTAGTACTATTTCCACTCCGAACAAATATCTTTTATCTGCAAAGATTTCATATCGATTTCTCTGACATAAGTTGGTGAATAGGAAAAGTGTTAGTTTTATGGTTGTGTAATAATTATACGAACGGAATTCTATTTGGGTCTGGCGACATATTATCAATTATAAAAGCACGCCTTATGATTATCAAAATAAAGCCAATTTCGATAAGAATTATGCGAATTATTGCTCGAAGTGATTTCATTTGTTTGCAAGATAGTCTGAAATTACTGAACTAAATAAAAGTGCTTAGTTTGGAAGCAAATTAAAAAGATCCAGATAACTCAGGTTTAGTAAGAACAAAGTCAGTACACACTACTAACACCAGTAGAACTCACTGTTCCCTAAATAGTAACCAAAAGCAGTTAAGCTAATAATATTCATCGTGATCTCGTGTTACCTGAACGAAATGGGAATGTCTGTTATTCAAATTGATAAAGTGTCGAAAGTATCTGAAAACCCTCATGATGCATTTATTTTCCCTATGGAACTAAACAATACCCTAAATAAGACTGCATTGTGGATTTGCTTTACAGCACAAATAAGTCAAGCCGCTTTTACTGAAAAAATACATACTTTCCCATTGAGCATTGGTTTCACATGTTCTTCAGGTATACTTTCATAACGACTGGAGCGAACTGTCTCGACGCCAGAAGCTTGAAGTAAACAAAACATGGGATAGAAAACTAATTAGCCAGGAGGTAACTAAAGAAGTAATGACGTTTGATTTACAACATTGTTATGTACTGTGGAAATTTACCTTCTTTCATAAATTTAACTTCAATGGAAGAACAAATGTTCCTGTCGGTTTGGTTACATGATTCTGTTCAAACATCGAGAAACTAGTGTTTCCAGTGTCATGAATCTGTGTAACCTTTATAAATAGTGCTTATTATTCAAGTTGTGAATGGATTACGTCTAGCTGTAACAAAATTATGAGACTATTGAATTTGTGGAGATTTGAGAATGTTAAAAATAGTAGAAATTTGTTTGTGTATTAAGTCAGTTGGATTCTGTATGTTTCGGGTACATGTTTCAACAATCAGTATTGGTGTTAGCTTATAATAATAAGATTCCAAATGGAATTACGTAGTCACTTTAATAAGCTGATAATACAATATATATAAATGATGAGGTTTCGTTTAATTGTCATTCATGAAGAAATTCATGAAGAACTGCTAAGAGTATGAATTCCATCTTTAAAGGAAATGTCCACCATTCACAGTTAGACTTTAAGTTCCTACGATTATTCTCAAGCACGATAGCTGCTGTACGATGATGAAATGGTGTAGATTAGGACGAAATAACCATCAGTAGCCTCCAAGAGTTTGTTAAAGGATGTTAATCCATGACATCAGTTATTTAGGAATGTCATAATTTTTTCATAGGATTTAACCACTGTGCTTAGGTCCAATTTAGATTTTTCAACTAATACAAGAACTGAACGTTCTTACTATATTCTAAGGAAATGTTCGCGGTTTCAGACCTAAAAAAGTCAGTCCTCCTTGTATACATCCAGTTACACATTAATGTACGGTAATATATGATCTCTTACTTATTGTTACTCAATGTAAATCATTTGAATGTACAGTAAGCATTACTGAAGTTGTTTTAAGATCGTTTAGCAATATAAAAATTACAGTGCTGGATTACATATAAATCAGTAGAACGAACTATGTGTGAATGGAATGAACAATGGCCGAAAAGTTTACTTCTGAGTTGGAGTTATTAATTAGATTCAAATAATACTAGTGTGGAAGAGCTGAAGAAAGCTGTATCCAAATTTATAATATTCACGGTCATAACTAGTTCTCGAGTTGACAATTAGAAAACCTATATGGTGTCACAAAAGAACATTTTTTCACTAAACTGGAAAGAATTCAAATATACTCTAAGCAAACTTCCCACAAGTAAAAAAAGATACAGATCAGTTATTTTATTATTTCTGATAGTATCCTCTTAAAAAATTAATTCGTCAAAGGTTTATCTAGGAAAAATTAAGCAAATAACCCTGGATATATTCTATTTCTTCATTTTAGTATACACAAATTAAACTTCTTTTGTAATAATAGTATTTTTTGACAGCAGTATGTATGTTTGAAACATTATAGAAGTCTTGAAATGCACATTTCATGGCAATAAATCTATAGAGTTTAGGAAAGTCAGCAATCTCAATTTTACTTTGAATGTGAAAGTACTAGATCCCACTGTGTATGTTGTAGTATGAAGTTAATTTTCTTAAATAGGTATATTTAGTATTTTTTTATTTTCACATCAAATTCACAATTTTGATAACATTTCTGGTCAATTATTCTGTAATCGTAATTAATCCTCCGATAGTTCGATCACAACAAATCTTCAGTTGTTCTACTATCAATCACGGATCTCGCTGTAAGTGAACGAATAGCTACTAACTTTCCCAAACATTTTCACGCGATTCTCGTTGTTCATATATCACTCGCTGTTATATGAACTAAATACTTGTGAAAATCACTATTATGTACATTGTAAACTAAGATACGAGGCATAAAGTCATATAATTAAATGATTGCTTCTCACCAGTCAAACGATTTCCAGGAATATGTAGTGTCTTTGGACGGACTGATATTTGCTTATTATCCATGGTTGGTGTACTTGGAATTGTTGTTATATCGTTGTCTCCTAGGTTTTGATTCAGTGGATCGTTTTCGGTTTGTAATACAAATAATAGTAGTCAGCATAACGGCGATAGTGTCATTACGTTGACAGGGTAGATTCATCATCGGCAAAGATAAGTTTGATTAGTTGCATGCAAAAAGAAAACAGACGAATAAAAGCATAAAAAAATATTTTCAAAGCAGGAATCTTTTTCTCAAATTTATTTCAAACATGATTTTTGTCAAGGAGTTCTGGCTTGTGGCATGAGTGTTAAGAAAATGAGATTATGGTTGATTAATGTATGCAGTTAGTTCATTTTATTCGTAAAATACGTTCATTTCATAGAAGAAATTTTGACCATGCCTAGATTTCCTTCGTTTGTCTGAGTGAATAAATTTTTTCGAGTTAATTTGACCGAACTTTAAAGTGCGATGTAATTAGGCCACATAAAGTGAAACTGTTGTATATTTAAAGTAGTGTCTCTACTAGTATTTTGGTGTGACCAGTAGGCACTGATTTAGGACAATACTGCAATTAATTTGGAATGTACAAAGGTTAACTATCATCCATCTGTTAGTATACAATTGGCAATTTTTAGACAGACGTCTTGAGTGTTCAGTTGTAGATGTGTGCATATCTACAGCATCAACTGATGGTGAAAATAGTTTTTAAGCTCTGAAACAAGATGATTACTGTTCATATTCTAAGAGAAATAGGCTAACAAGTGGCTGACTTATCATCCCTTGGCTATAAAACTACTTTGATACATTAATTTCAAACTAAGCAGATACCACTATCTTCGTTTCCTTGCCACTTTGAAATTGTACTATACAAGTTTTAACCGACAACTATGTCCCAGTTTTAGTGCTAAACTTTTAAATGAATTAAACCGTGCGGTCATTATCCTTTTCATAGAACCAATTATTTAGTTATGATGAGTAGATTGAAATAATGATCAGGAATTATTTAGTTTCGTTGATCATCCTATGTAGACCCTAGTGAATTTGTAATAACAGATATTCTGGTCAAATCTAAGTGATTTAATTTATTATCAGAACAGTATTCTGTTTAAACAAACTATTTGTCTTCAAAAAAAGAAGAATTCGAAATCATTACCATCTTTTTAATCTTGAACATGATACTAATTTTACTAACATTTTTAGTATCATTAATTTCATCGTTTGATTTCTTCTACAGATGGTCGCTCTTTCTGCTGATGAGAAGTTTGATAACTTGAACCAATGCATACTGATAAATATAGCTTACGTTGCTAACTTTGGTTTGCTCATTTCGACTGAAAGTCTGGTTAAAAAATGATTACTTTTTTTACACATGCTTATTCACATCGATTCAGATGCTATAAATTAAAAACTTACATCAATATAAAGTAGTTACTGTCTTAAAGATAATAAGTAGACTAGTATGTTGTAATTCCTTTAAATAGATCCCAAGTCTAATAACATTGTCAAATGTTAAACATGTGAACCATTTCTTGAATCTTTAATATCTAGTAACTGTTATCATTCCATGATTTACATAGTTTTTAGTTGACCACTTGTTACAATTAAGTTACATCAATATTTTAACACTCAAGGTTAAATGCATTACGTCAAACTAATAATTTCATTCTCTTGTTTGATTAGAAAACTGAATCAAGCAATAAACACGTAATTGTTATCCAAATATCTACAGAACTTTGACAAACCTATTTCGCTTACATGTATAATCCACTAATAAAAGTGGATTTGATTCTAAGAAATTCATTTCAGTCAAGATTTGAACATATATGTTTATGGTGTCTGCTGATGATGCTGCATTGGGAAGTAGATTCTTAGTTCATATATTAATTTATTCAAATAATAATGAGATTTTTTTGTATCCAAATGCTACAAATAACCAACGAAGTGACCATCTATATTGTTTCATTACTTGTCTACAACACTTTTGATAGCACAACAAATGTCTCATGTGACTGACAATAATATAATGAATTTCAGCCCACTACTTATTGTTCTACATATACAAAAATAACAAGTTTCGAATGTCGTTAGAAGTTAGTCAAGTAGTGAAGACAAATAAAACGCTTTAAATGCAAGCATTTATATGTAGACGCAATGTATTCAGCGTAAAACTTCTACTTGTTTCATCAAATTCTTGTTCATGCTATTCAGGATATCGAAACATTGCTGGGTGTAGATAAAAGGTCATCTGGACATTCATATAAAAATAACATTGAAACAACATTTACTGATGACAACGCTTAAACACTAAGACATTCACATAAATTAATGTATCGTTTATAGGATTTATATGATAGTTTATGGACATTTCTGAAATGATCCGTTATCTGTAAGGTTATTTTATCAATGAGTTTCAGTATTAATTTACCTGATGTAAAAATTGTTATGAAATGTTATTTTACCGTACTTTCAAACTAGTATACCACATTTTTGAAATACGAATCTTCGTTAATCAAATAGAGTTTATATTTAAGTGACGAAAAAACCTATGTTAAATTACACTCAACTATGTATTCCTTCAGGTAGTGAATTACGGTTCATACTAGTAACTGGTTATCAGGGGATATTTTCCAAAAACAATATACTAATTGCTCTCATTTAATGACGAAAAATATTATCAAAGATGTCATGAATACTGATGCATGATTTATGTCTTTACATTTCCAGTAAACATTCCTCATCTTTCCTCATCATTCTTCAGCTTACAAGTACTCATACTGGTTATGATATTATTTGAGCATGAATTAATCTATTCATTACTCTGGTTTATTGTTTTCTGACTAGATTAATTAGTCGTCTCTTACATTGTTATACATTGTTACTATGAGATTGATTCTGAGGTTTTGAATCCATCTTGATTAATACAATTGGAATTGTTAGTGTTCAATAAAATGTTTAGTTTTAACGAGTATGTACAATTAGCTATAAAATTGTATTTCAAAGAAATAGATTCCGTGCCAACGTGAGTCGTAATAATTTTATGAAATGCTATATTGATTGTTGACCGTTGTATAAGTAATATATTTGAGTTTTAAAGAGATCATATCAGAAAATCGGTAATAATTGTATTATTTTGCCATGGTACACTAAAGGTTTGTAAATATTAGCGAATGCTGAATGAAAGTGAATGTAGCAGTAAGTATACTTTAGACATTGGGTTCCATGCCCTATTTAATAAATGATCAGGTTGATAGTTAAAAAAAAAAAAATCGAAAATCTCGCTACCTTCATCCTCGCTATCTGAAATCATGTGATCTGTCATATGTTCCGCTTTTTCTAAAGGCAATAGACCATTATTTAAATTTATATTGTCATCTATTCCATCTGAACCGGGCGAAATCGCGTCAGTTCCATCAGTTGTAATCGATTGCAACATTTCGAACAAGTTTAAATAATGTTGTTTATGAGCTAATTTCGCTGCTGTCCATCCTTGCTAAAAAAGAAAAAAAGTAATCAAAATTTACCACAGCATTATTTACATTTAAACAATTTCAACAATATTTAGTTATGAGAAATATGCTAAACTTAAAAAAATTAATGTTCATAGATGAGCAGCATAAACATTTGAGTTATATTTCGTGTGATAACAACATTTATAAAAGTTACCTTATTACAAATGTTTGGATTAGCTCCCATTTGAATTAATTTCAGCGCTACTTGTAGATGACCTTGTTGTGCTGCCAGATGCAGCGGAGTTGAGCCCATGTGGGTACGACAGTTTATAAATTGTGGAAGTTCATGTTCAGGAACACGTGATAGAAGCAGACGAACAGAGGCCAGCTGTCCCCTATAAGCACATGAATGTAGTGGTGTAAATCCAGCTTTCAGTGTCTTCGTATCAATGGACGCTCCTGAATTCAGTAAATATTCAGCTACGTTTACTTTATCTTCCTGTACCGCCAAATGTAAGGGCGTTAAACCGTCCTATAAAAGTGCAACATTTGAAGTGTATACGATAATGACATAAAAAGAAAGAATTTGAATTTTTGAATTCCAGTATATAAACGTCAATCTCTTGAATTGACCAATGTTATAAAACTGGTAAAACAGAAGAGTTTTATTCATAATTCTTAAACCAACAGACCAAGCTTATTGCCGTCTTAATGGAGTTCGCCGTCTAATCAGAACAAACCAATAAGGAAATTCACATATGATTTCGGTTAGTCAAAATAATCCTAATAAATAAGATGTCTTGGACTATATCTTCGTAGAATAGGAATATCTGATAAAAATAAATGAAAGTCTATACAGACATACCTTGGCTGCAGTATCCACCTGAGCTTTGTATTCTTCAACAAGAACTTTAACTATTTCCATTCGACCATCTTGTGAAGCTAAATGAAGTGGTGTATAACCGTTTCTTGAACCTTTGTCAATGATGGCTCCTTTAGATGCTAATAAACGGATTGAGTCAAGTTGATTTCGTTTAGCTGCCAGATGAAGTGGTGTAAAGCCATTCTTAACAGGTCGATTGACATCACCTCCAAATTCTATCAATTTATCCAACATCTTTAAAGTGTAAGTACAAAAATTGAACATACGTTTCAACTGTTATGATGATGATATTGTCAAACAAAAGAGATCACTAACGATTTGAGGATGATGGTGAATGAAATAAACAGCCTCAACTTCAGGCTCTTAATGATCACAAACCATAATAACATATGGTTTGCATGCTTAGGACAGCAATAGAAACAACAGCAAGACAAGGTAAGAAGTAGTGATGAGTACTCAAAATGGTTTAAGCTGTGGGTAAATTATCAGCTAATCAAACGTTCAGTTGGTTGAATGATAACACGATAGATTATTTTGCGTAAAAAGATAACAAGCGAATGAGACCGATCAGATAATATATTGCTGCAAGACCAGACTGATCGTATGCTCTCTCAGAAGGCCACACGGTGAAATGAAAATCAACATAGAAAATGGCCCTATTGTGAGTAAATCATCCAATTTTCTAAAGATTCTTCTTACTGTATAAAAAGAAAATATTCTTTTAATAATTCCTAATCAGGTCACATACATTTATGGGTGAAATTTGACAGTAAATTATGCAAAAACCATTCATCATTCTCCTGTCGGTGCTTCCATGAATTATTTAATGAACCAAAATGACAGCACACATTTTCCTGTTTCGGTCAGAACAGATAGATACGCTAACATATATGCATATATATATTCGACTTTTATTATTAATGCCTTTTACGAGCTTTTAGTCTTCGTTGTATTGCTAACTAAATAAGTGGGCGTTAGGCAGAGTACATTGAGACTAGGCTATACTTGATAATGTAACACGATCCTATAGTCACCGTTGGAATACCAGCTAAATGATTGTTAAGAACAGTGAGTCAAAAGTTATGGAAAAGATGGAGAGTAGTTCCACCAAAATTCTTAGAATTGATACTTCGTTTCAAAGCACTACCTTTGGTGTATATCAAATGTTGCCACCTTATCTGATTCTGTTGTTAACTTTTTTAATCCATATATATTTTAAAAGGTTCTAGCAACTTTGATGTGATATTTCTGAAGTCAGAATTAAACTAGCTTTCATCATGCCACATGAAATGGCTGAGAAGTTTGAAATTTATGCTTAGACCATCTACTTTAGTCTCGTCTGACAGTATCATGAATAGGATTGCAATTTAAAACTTGTATTATTAGTAGATTCAAACCAGAAATACTTATGCTAACGGTCTGGTGTACATATAATTCTCAACCCACCGTTTCCTAATGGTTGACCACTAATATCTGTCGCTTTCTAATTATTTAGCATTGGTTGATACATCCGATTTTCTATTTATGGAATTCTGTTTATTTTATTATTTTAAACCGTTCACCTGATCCTTAGTTCACTATGAATTATTAAGTTAAATCTAAGTAATTATACTCGAAGAATTCTGTTTTGGGTTAAAAAGAATCTTGATCATAGCAAACACCGTCTCTGATGGCCATCGTTCAGTAAATTCCTAACATGAAACTGTTGCGGAAATATGTTAATGAAAGTATTTAATTTCGGATTATTTATTGAGCATATCTGATATGAACTATTCCGAAGTCACTTAAAAACTAAGGATATTACTCATCTTGGTGATTGGACATTTATATAGGATGTAATAAAAGACATAATGACATGTTTGATCAAACGAAAACGAAGCAGCAGTTGGATGCTTAGTAAATCACAACTTACTTTGTTATCATTGTAATAGGTGGCCACATGAACAGGTGTGAAGCCATTGGGACCAATTGCGTTTGGATTAGACTTAGCTTTGTCCATTAACAAGTGAGCAGTTTTGTATGAACCATATTTAGCAGCTAAATGTAAGGGTGTAAACCCTTTCTGTTGAAAATAAAATTTGGAAACGCAGTAATTAAATTAACTGATAATGGTAACATATGAGCCAATAAAGTCATTAAGGGAATATGTGTTATGGTGACTGTGCTGAGGACTGGTTTCTGAATATAAGGAATACTGTTAATTATTTGAAAGATTTTTCTTGAAATTTCAATTACCGAAGGTATTGGGCTGACTCACAGACCCAGGATCATCAAAGCCTCCTTCAAGAAAAAGATAGAGGGGATCACAATAAATAACATCCAGTGCTATGCGCCTATCAAAGATAACAATAAGGACGTTAACGATCAATTCTACAAGAGGCTGCAGTCAATGATCAATAAATTTTCAATAAAGAGCGTGACCACTCTGATGGGATACCTAAACGCCGATGTTGAAATGGATAAAAATGTATCTGAAGACATGATGGGACGACATGTAGTGGTAAAAAGGAACGAAAATGGTGAGAGATTTTCAAATCTCTGTGCCTTCAACGAAATGGTTATACGTGGCACCATATTTTCCCATGATAGCATGCACACAAAAAAGAGTTTCACCGGATCGCACCACACAGAATCAAGTCGACCATATATGCATCAATAAAAAGTTCAGAAGGACCATGGAAGACTTGAGAACCAAGAGAGGAGCTGACACAGCTTCAGATCATAACTTGATAGTTAAAATGAAATCGGAACTAAAGAAATGCTGAACAACATGGTGAACAGCATTTTCGAGACACTGATTAACTCAACGAATCCAGGATAGCTCACAGCAATGGGTCCCAAGCCTTTCACGATCTACTCAATAGAGAGGGAGCTATCATGGAGGAAAACTGGAAAGGGATAAACGAAGCAATCACTTCAACGTGTGATGAGGTTCTGGGAAAAATATGCACCAGTTTAGGGAATGGATCATTATTGATACACTATTAAATTTCAAGAAAGGAGGAACAAGAAGGCAGAAACCAATATCAGCCGGACAAGAGCAGAAAAAGTCAAGACGCAAGTTGAATATACAGAAGCAAACAATCAAGTGAAGAGGAGCATCAGAGCCGACAGATGTAAATATGTGGAAGATCTAGTAATGATAGCGAAAACGGATACATGACAAAGAAACATGAAACAATTGTATGATACAACAAAGAAGCTCCCTGGAAATTGTCGTAAACCAGAACCATTAGTGAAATGCAAGTAAGGCAAAGCAATCAGGAACATTCGAGAACAGCGAAACAGGCCAGTTTTGCAGCAGCAGCAGCCTCTGCAGCAGTGTGCCTCAACATACAAAACGTATAGAGTAGAATCCTTCCACATTACACAGCATGCCCCAAGCAAACCACACTTGAAAGAAAAGTTTTCAATGAAGTGGGAACCTTCACATACATAGGCAGCAACATTGATAAACAATGTGGATCTGATGCAGATGTGATTACATGGATTGACAAAACAACAACAGTATCTCTACAACTCAATGACATCTGGAACTCAAAACAACTAACAACAAACACCAAAGTCACAATTTTCAATACAAATGTCAAGACGATTCTACCATATGGGGTGGAAACTTGGAGAAATACCAAACCCATCATTCATAAGATACAAGTGTTCATTAACAGTTGTCTACGCAGGATACTGAGTATCCATCGGTCAGACACCATCAGCAACAACCTTCTTTGGGAGGGAAAAAGCAAGATTACAGCTGTGGAAGAAATTAGAGGAGAGCTCTATGGAAGGAAAGGATACACATTGAGGAAATCATCAAACTGCATCTCGATGCAGGTCTTCATTTGGAATCCTCCATGCCAAACGAAAAGAGGAACACAAAAGAACGCATTGCCCCGAGAATCGGAGACAGACATGGAAAGAACGAACAGCAATCGAGAAGAACTAGTAAGGAGAGTCAAAGACATAGTCGATTGTAGAATTTTGGTGAGTGGTTTATGCTACACTGGGGGTAACAGGCGTAAGTATCGTGCTGACTTACCTGTTTATTAGACTTTTTGTTAAGATTTCATCCAGGCTAAGGTACTTATTGACCTCTCATAACAACTAACAATATATTGACTAATTTATGAATTTTATCCTTTCTCCAATAAATCTGTTTCATCATAAAAAAGTTCAATGTTTTGAGTACCATTAGGAGTTCTGAAAGTCTGGCTGATATTGATTGAATCGTTGAGTGTAAATGACACCGTTGAAGTTATTTTAAAGGGGAAAAAGTAGTTAGTAGTATCTTATTCACGATGAAGCTACTGCCACCAAATGAACTAGTGAGTAATTCCACTTTTAGTTTTCAATTCGAAAATTTGGTATTAAAAGTGATGTCTGCCTTAGTAATATGTGAACTGCATTGACTTACCTTTGTTTTAACTTCCGGATTGGCGTCGTGCTCAATCAATAGTTTGACAATATCTTCTGAGTCTTCTTTGATAGCTATATGTAATGGTGCATAATTATCTCTTGTCATTATATTAGGATCCGAACCAGCATCCAACAACAGTTCAACAATAGGCAGAAAATTTGTACGTACAGCGACATGTAAGGGTGTTTGGTTATCCTAATGAAGAATTAAATAAGTAGTCAAAGCCAATCTGTATACAATTTTTATCTTCACCTACTGTGAAACTAACACGCTTTGCTTGTTTCGTAATAGAAATTCTTGATCACACGAATATAGGGACCTAATTGTTATCCAGAATAATATAGTCCATGTGGCACTCATGTCTTACTTTACTGTTATTAGCACTGAAACTCTCAGTTGGTACTTCATCCATTTGCAATTTTGGTAAATGTATGGGTAAATCTATGAGATATCTTATTTTCTGACAGAGCATGGAAATATTTTCTCACGCCAGATTTTGAAACAAAAATTGTATTGTACTTTCAGTCTATCGTTGGTCGAAATTAGAACCAACGATCTCAGGACCTTTTATCAAGAATTTCCTCCAAAAATTAGTTTTTGTCTACAAAAGTGAGTATTGCGAAAACAAGACGATACAACTCTTCAGCTAGGATTTTCAGCTGGTGACGAAAGGATCACACCGATGGAGGCCTGAGAGAGAGGATTAGTGAATAAGAAAATGCCTGAAATAGGCACACATCACTTATGGTGATGTGTCATTAGGAAAGTGTGTCGTAACAAGAGGGACCTTTAAAAGGTGGAATACAATTTTTCAAGATTTAGATTTCCGTCAGTTTACCGTCCGTCCCTTTGTTCCTTACAAACAATCAAAAACGTAGTTCTTTAAATTTTTAATGAACAGCTTACTTTCAACAAAAATTGTATTTATTCGAATTTAATAACAACTTGTAATTCATTTTGTCTCAGTTATGCTACTTTGTATATTTCGAACAGCAAAGCTGAACACTTAGTAAATCTGCTTAAAAATTAGTATGAGTTTCTACTGTGGAGGAGTTTAGATAATGTGTCTCTAACTATCGAACATCATCTTGATATGTAATTCGTAACTGATCCATATTTATCAGGCAATACGGATTACTTGACGATACAGACTATTCGAATTAAACATTTGTCATTCATAGTTATAAAAGCTATTAGATGTTAATACTAGTATTTTATTTAGAAAAGAACAATAGTGATAATTAATTTTGCAAAATATAGAATATTTTTATCTACATTTGAATGATGATGAAAGATAAACATTACCTCATAAATGACTGTCCTATGGTATATGGATACCGAAATTGCATCATTATGGTTTATCCTTTAAATGATATTTATTTTGGAATAGGTGTATGTACCAAGTTTTTGAGTCAATGTTCATGTAAATTATGAGCGATATTTTTATCCATTTATGTGTGAAAATTGAGATGTTTTTTAATGTCAATGAGTTGTATGTTTATTCATAAAGAACTCAAGCAGTAAATAAAATTCTAGTGTAAATAACTACCACAAAAAGTACACGTTTGTTAAACTTTTATTCACTGAGCATTATTTTAACATGTAGGATAATCATCAGCTGTGGACCAGGACTGGAATCCCATTTGCAACTCCCAAGATATTTATCACCTATGAAATAAAAAGCGCCTACACAGAGAATCTAACTTAGATAACAGACCTTCTTTGGTTGACACTTGTTGCATTAAACTGTTACTGATGAACATGTATATTTGTAGAACAGATATGCTATTATTTAGGAAAATACCCAAATCACCCAGTACCTCCATAATTTAGTCTGTTTCACTCTATTTAGCTCATTTATCGTTAGAGGTTAGTGCAGCCATGTAAGAAATCACTGACATAAACATAACAGATTGGTAGCAGTGGTTTGTCCTTCAAACGAATATACAAACTGTTCTATTAAATATCATTTGTATATCACCATTATTATTTTTTAAATCAAAATGAATAGAGACTTAAGTTAGGCCATTTAAGTTATAAAATGCAACCTCATAAATTTATTTTCAAGTAGTAGGAATCAATGTCTGCATTTTACGTAAATGTTTACTTTATAACTATAGGTCTACAAAGCCAATTCAACTAGTCAGTATTATCCAAAGTCATGGTTTATTTACAACTCATAATCTGTACGCGTATCTTAACTAACTGCCTCAACTAGTTAGCAGACACTTTAGGATGTTGAAAGAAGTATGCGAGATTTATACTGATTTTTGAATGAGAGACAAACTGAGTGGTGTTAACATGATTAGAATTAGATATTTACCACATTTTGTGCCAAACTGATTATGAGGCTTTCGTTATCTACTTTTAAGGTGAAAAATAATGAAACTTACTCTTGTACGGCAATCCAAATTAGCTTGGTGACCAAGAAGAGTTCTCACTGTCTCCAGTTGTCGATTTCTAGTCGCTAAATGTAGTGCAGTTTCATTACGCAAAGTCGTTTGATTTACATTTGTACCATGTTGTAAAAGGAATGAGACAATCTCTATACATCCAACAAATGCAGCCACATGTAATGGAGTGAGACCAGTCTGGAGTTTCAACAAAATATAAATAAACACGAAACAAAATGATCACTTTCAAAGTCAATGTTATTTCAGTATTCTTGGTTTATGTACGTGCTTTCTTAAGTGTGCAAAATAAATCTAACCTCTAAAAAAATGTTTTGGAACATGGCTAAAAACTTCTTGGTGAACTTCTAAAGTGAAAGCTATCTGGAACGACAATACTCCAAACACAAAGTGTATACTTGACAAGATAAATGGCTAAAAACTGCCTTATTTCAAATGATGTGCTTTATAGTATGCATTATTCTTTGCTGTCGAGTTTATCTCATCATTATTTGAGTAGGCAAAGTTTCATCATATATGGTTATCAACTGCTTCTAATGATTGCAGGCAAAACAATTGTTAAGATGTTAACCAATACTAATTTCACCAAACATCTTGAATGGCAAACTTTTAGTTACTCAAATATTTTCTACACAAAATGGAAGTATAGATAATACGTTATTTCGGAGGAAATTCACGTGATCTGACTAGAGATGAAGCCCATTACTATACCCCTAAACGACGAAAAAATGGAGTGAGAAAGCCAATTTATGATTCTTTCGGAAATTTCCCCACTACGTAGGAAAAAAAATTCTCGAGCAGAGAGCTTGAAGAATGCCAGATCATATAGTTGACTTTAAGATTATAGGTTTTTCAACGTTCATTGGACAAACAGTTTGTGAAAGCATTTATCTAAGAAAACGTATCACTGCCTATAAGTGTAAAAAGCCTGTCATTCAGCCTGAGGAACAGCAACAACACAATAGGAAGCAACTATTTACCTCTGTGGCTGCTTCTATTAGAGCTCCATATTTAAGAAGAATTGAGGCCATTTCAACCCGTGACTTTTTGCATGCTATATGAAGGGCAGTAAATCCATTCTGTATAAATAACAAAGCATAAGCAAGTCAATATGAATAACAAGCATAAAAAAATCGTTTTGAAAGAGAAAAAACATTTCGCTTTCAAAATACAACTGAACAACTAGTTAAGAAGGGATTCTTTTATTGGCTGTCGTACTTGGTTTTTATTTTCAGATCATTTTAAACGGTATGAATTAAAGCAAGAGTAAACAGCTACTCTCGGAAACAAATTGTTGAAGTTCCCTGTGGAATTATTCTCTTGCACAAATTTTGTATTCATATTAATATTGACTATACATCAGTAATATTTGATTTGGATCGGAAATGGTTATGATAGCTGAGGGTGGATAAATAACGGACCTATAGTAGTAATTATAGTTTTCGTTGTTCCGTGCTCTTTGTTTTCGTTTCCTTTTTCTCTAGGTGTAGATGATCATAAACAATCCATTATGGCGCAATTCATACACTGTCTAGTTGAAAAGAATCCATAGTTTCCCACTGACAAGTTGCATTACTGTAATATTTATGAAAAAGGTACTTCTGAAATAATTTTTGGACCGTCACAATTCAAAAGATCCAATATGACATATCTATCCTCTACGTTTAAATTTATATATATATATATATAATGATATTTGACTCTTGGCAAAATTAGTGTAGATGATTTATGGGGAACACAGTACTCTAACTATTGAAACCACAACCTGATCGAAGCTAATCCACCTTGGAAAACCTGGAAGCACTGTACGACCGTTCCGTCCTAGTATGAGACTCCTTATAGTATCATCTGTGAAAATAAAATCTCCATGCATCCACGCAAGAAAGACCAAAGGCTGTGAGTTCAGTTCCTGGATGCGGGACCTTGAATTTCTCTACCGAGGAGTCCCATACATGATTTAAAAGGCCGTCCAATGATTCTGTGTGTTTCAGTGATAACCTATCTACAATCAGTTCATAATTTAAACTATGAAAATTATTGTCATTGTTTAGAAGTATTTGGTGTCACATAAAAATATAAAGGAGGAACTTAGTGAAAATGTATACTAAAGAGATAAATTGAGCTAAAAAGTAGACTAGACTGTTTTGAGTAGAGTTCAGCAAAGAAGCTGAATCGGTTTATTTTACGTACTAAGTCTGGTTAAACTGAGTTGGTACTGATTGCTTCTGTTATCTAGGAGAGGTGTTATCTTTTGACTTTTAGAAAATTACTCAAGACTTGCTACTCAACTGTAATACCTCCTTCAACCTTAATTTTATATCTACTGGTTATCAGATGGGAAGAATGCACATCTGTATATTTGGTAATCCTTTTTACTAAACATGCTAGGCAAACCTCCTCTGACTACGGCCGGCATTACTATTATGGTATAATTCCACCACCATTCAAGGTTCCACGCCCACTATTCGTTTTGTTAAATCCATAGACATCGATAATAAACACAGTATCAAAACAACCAGTATAGCCTGTCAGATATCAATCTATATCAGGTAGACTCATTCTGATGTAAAATATGTGGTTTTTGACACCGATTGCTGTTCAATATGCACATTTGATGTAATATCATATAAATTTTTAATTTTGATTATTAGAACTCGTTTTCGTATCACAGTGAGCTTCATGGTGCTCCTTTACTATTTAGTAATTCCATCAATTTTCGGATTTATGCACAAGATTACTCAACCTGTATTCATTGAAGTCAGTTTGTAACAGTTTACAATTGCACCGCTTGTTGCTGTATCTGAATAAAGAAGTAATCCCCAACTAAAATCCAAATTCAGCTTGGAATTTAATCTTATAATTACCAGTATATCTAATCCTCTAGATTACTCCATCCAACTTTTACAGCAATTAGGTTGATTCAGAAACGAACTAAATAATTATCTTTAGAAGCTGGACTAAATTTGCTTTTTTCCATATTGACAACCATTAATTAAACTAATGAGAATTTATTTCATCCTCTTATGATAATTTAAATCGGTGTATAATTTACTAATTATAACTTGAGTCGACTTACCAGAGCTCTTGCATTGACATTACAACGGGAATTCAATAGAGCGCGAGCCACATCTACATTGCCGCAATGAGCTGCAACATGTAAAGGAGTCAGGTAATCCTATGAAACGAAAAGATAGAGGAAATGAATGAGTTGGACAAATAGGTTAATCTTCATGTTTTATATTCTCGGGAGTAATCTCATCTACAAAGTGCCAGTTGATGGATGTTCCACAAGCTTTAGATACAAGTGTTTGTGTTTGTTTTGACTATAAATAAAGTAAATCGTTTTCAGAAATATATATTTGATTTTCATAAACATTGTTAAAATGTTTTCTAAGTCAATCAATTAGAGATTATTTAAAAACATCGATCAAATCAATGACAGTGATTTGCTTTGGCTGGTTGTATCATATAGAAATTGACTCACAGATACTTCAGTAATTTAAATGAAATATTTTCATTGACTTCAGTGAAACTAGCTGCTTGTTGAGAACATGAGTACATATGCAGTTAATTTTTAAAATACAAAATTAACAAGCAAAACAAGATAGACAAATAATTAATCGGATTTGCAACTAAAATTCGTGACAAAGTAATTTAAACTTGAAAATGATTGCCTAATCATAGTTGTATTTGACGCATTACCGGATCGTAGATCGTGGTTAGTCGTAGAGTTTTTGTAATGCGCCAACAAATGACGTCCATTAGCGCCGATTGTTTCTAATTGGTTAAAAGCAAATAAGTGAAAGTTGTTATGACAACAGTTAAAATTAAAAAAAAACTACTACTAGTGCGACGTTTTCGTTACTCCGAATACAGTAAGTTAAAGGTACTATTCTCAACTTACAATGGTCACATCATCCGGATTAGATCCATTCTGTAATAGTAACTGAACAACTCTTTCATTAGCACCTTGTGCAGCCAAATGCAATGGCGTCAATCCATTCTAAGAAAAAGCAATTTCATAAAAATATTGTAAAATAGAATTGAACATTCAAATATTGGAACATTTATCTCAGGAATATTAAATATTGAATTATTTCTACACCAAATATTTTATAGTTTCTTCACTATTTCTTTGAGAATGTTACTACTAGCTAACTCATCTAAATATCACACAATAATCATTCTGATTATAATCTTTATGCTAGACTGAAAATCAAAAGTGTGGGAATAATCAGCACCAACTTATTGAATTTGTTTTAAGATAAACAAACAAAGAAACGTGTCAGAATTTTAATTTTACAAATTCTAGAAAAAAAGTGTGTGTGTGTGTGTGTGTGAATCTAGGTAGTATTTCAACTTTGAAAACTTCATCAAAAATCAATCATATCACATCGACCACATTTCAATAAGCCGTCGTATTATTTGGGTGTTAAAATACAATGATTATGAAAAAAATTTATTACTAACTTGTGGCCGACATCGAACAACACGGTTCTGATGTGTAAATTTTTTATAAAAAAAATTCATTTTGTTTTATGTAGTAAACAAATGGAGCAGTAGCCATTTCATGTTATATAGATGTCGTGTAGCATTTTGATTATTATTAGAATGCCTTACGAACAGTCATCACAAAACGTATTCTCCTGATGGAAGCAGAATACCATGTCTTATCGAGATCACTGAAATGATCTGACCGCTCCTTGTCACTAAAAATTTCAAATGTACAGTTCAATGGTTCTAGTGCAACGTATGAGTTCAACCCGCTTAAATGTTTGCAAAAACCTTGAATTCATTTACGATGCGACGGTGGCTTGATGGCTGATGCATCTGACCATGAAACATGAGGTTTCAATACTTATATCTCAGAAATCTATCTTACCTACATAATTATTCAGACTAGTTATTTTACGGTATTCAATTGAGTAATCTGTTAAGGTGAAGCAAACCGTCCAGTCATATTGTTATTTACAGACTGTCCTACTTGATCATAATTCAATAAATTATAAATATAGTTCACATAAATTCAGTTAAAAAATAAATTTATCAACATGAATGACTACTTTACTCCAGTAGTTGCTTTTCAATTAAAATATACCTTGTTACAGATTTGATTCCCTGTTGGTCTCAGATAGCATACTTAACGTATGTTAAGGTTAAATGCTACATCTAACCTGAAATAACTGACAATATGGGATGTTATATATGTTCGGTACTTATTGTACATATTTAAAAGATGCTAACCAAGCTAAACTAAGAAGATGTGACAAGTACCTTTGTTTTTAAAGAATGATCAGCTCCATTTTTCAGTAAATATTCCACAGTGTCAATTTGGCATGCACGAGATGCACAGTGTAACGGTGTCAGTCCATCTCGCGTGCGGGCGTTGATTTCAGCTCCTGCTAGAATCAATTCTCCAACAACTTCATTCTTTCCCCATTTAGCAGCTACATGTAACGGTGTTATAGAATTCTGTAACATGATATCGAGAAATAAATCAAAATTACCATTAGCACTGTTTACTTGGGATATCATTTATACAAAAAGGACATGTTTAGAGAAAATCTTTGTTCTGTTTCTGTTTTGTCGATTCGAAAATGAATATTCTCAGAGTGATATCATCTAGCATGTAATATCTAAGACAAGCGAGAAATCTCTGAAATACACTTTCCAGTTAAATATAAAATAAATGATCAGGTCATCCATCGAAGGCTATCATGGACGCAAACCCTACAAATAGGACTGACAAAATGGATCATAAGGTAAGACGCTGAAATATCACGTGAATAACATTTATGTAATTGAAGTTTGTTCTAAAGTACAGCAATTTTATCAATAAAACCAATGATTCACTGGTGACCGGTTATATTCAAAATAATTACGTCTTTTTTCGATTCTTGAGTTATTAGTCAATAATGGATTATCTGTTACTCGAGTATTACTGAAAGGTTTTTTAGATTGAGTTTTTAAGATTTCTAGCACCATAGACAGATTGTTTCCGACATTTTAATATCATGATCCCGTTACAATTGATTCTTCTTCTAACTACTCTTCTGATCAATTTGTAAATGTATACACGTATAACAAACAAAAAGAGTATTAATATTAAGCTTATCGGCTGGTCAGTATTCATGTGATTATGTATTATAGTTAAAACTAATTAGTTATTTAACATGATATCGCACTTAGGAATGATAAAAACGAGACTTACTTTTGCTTGGTAATTAATATTTGCTCCTCTTTCGATCAACAATTTAGCCATATTAACATTTCCATAATGAGCAGCAATATGTAATGGCGTAAATCCACTCTGTAAAAGATATAACAAGGAAAGTGTCAAACCCACAGGGATTGATTGTCCCAGCATATGGGAAAACTAATTGATCCATTCTTCTCGAATTATTCACACGTCTTTCAACCTTGTCAATTATTCACCTAAGATCTTGATTGTTTTTGCTGATCATCTGTCTAGCCTATTTTTGTCTGACCATAAATACGTAGTCACCCTCATCACATTGAGTTGGCCCACTCTCCTTCTCCGCTTCACTTTGCTTCGCTGCTCATTCTATTGTTTGTCTAATACGCAAATGTATTGAATAAATTCATCAGCAAAACCATATTGGGCTTTTAATCATCGCTGTCACACAAACAGGGTTTGTCTAAGAATGATATACGGAAATTGAAGTGAAGAATTATTTCATCTCAGATTCAATTGTTCGTCCAAATTGGAGTCAGATCCCAGGCCATAAAATATTAAACGCACTATGCTGTTATTAAACAAAAGATGAACGAGGGCCTTTGTAGTTAAGCCCTAGGATAGAAATCATGAGTTTGTATTTAATGTTTCTAGTTTTAAGTTTATATACGGCTTGATTCCACTCAAATCTCAAAGCCTTTGCATGAAATCTTCATTAATGTGGTTAATTGTGAGTCATAAGGTAGCGTTTTCAGCAAATTTAACAAAGCTGTCACAAAAAGTAATGCAATATAAAGAAATAAAGTGAATCACCATAATTAATAAATAAAATGCTAATTCTTTAATCACGTTATGCGATACCGTTCAAAATACCTGTCGGCATAGGTTAAGAAAACCTTTTAAATTGTTGCTTTAGGCTTTTAAGTTATATGCTCTAGAAATTCTATCATGTTACTGTTGTATTTATGACAAGAAAGAAATTATGTTGAAAATAAGAGTTAGAACAGATAACTTGAAGGTAGCAGTCCAGAGATGAAGATTCAGAATTAGCTCTTGGCAGGTTTAGTTTTATCCTGAAATGACTAACTTTTCGACATAATTTTTTTCTCTGTGAAGTTATTTGAATACAACAAGGAATCTGTGTTGTTTTTTTACTGCATCATGGAAATGCAGAAAGAAATCAATTAATTACCCCGCCAATAGACCCTTCGGGGCTACTGCCAGTCCAAAGCCCGGATAAAAGAAGAGGGAGTTGGGCATGGGGTTGGCGCCCCCACCCCAACTAAAAACTAACTTGCCAAAAAAAAACGCTAACCAGAAGAAATGACTATTTATCAGAGTTGTAATGTTACCTACGAATCCATAGTTATATAATTATTCATTTTCGATAAGTAAACGCAAAATATGATTCGTCAAAACTCTTTATGAAGCCTTATATTCAAATAAGTTCATTTATTATTCTATTGATAACGCAGTTAAAATCATCCTCATTTTGGTATGCAAAGTATCACATAGTATTTGTAAAAAAGCACTCACAGCCGACGTATGATCAACATTTATTTCGCTGTTATTGAGTAACAGTTTAGCAGCATGAACGTCATCCTTCTTAGCAGCAATGTGTAGAGCGGGTAAGCGACATTTTCCGCGAGAATCCCTTTCCAGTAGCAGGGTTATAACACGATCATGTCCTTGCTGTAATGCCACCGCAAGTGGCGTAAAACCATCCTGAATAAAATCAATAAGGAATTATGATATGGTGATATATTATAACTTTAAAATTCTCAGTCTCTAGTAAATACCAGGATTGAAACATTTTAAGTTAATGATCTGTTATACAGAATTGAGATAAAATGAAGTTATATGTGACATTTCCAACTAAGTGCTACTGGACAAATTATTTTACACTGTTTAATCATTAAGACATTTTTGAAATACTAAACTTGCTTACCGTCATATTCCTACTCTAATCGACTTACTTTCATTTTTTGAAATAATTAGTTTTTTCGTTGTACTTACAATAAATTAGGTAGATTTCTGTATTGTTTGCACTATGAGCCTTATTTATCGATCCTCGCCTAATAACTATTTTATCACTTAATTTATGACGCTAGTTTCCTAAGTCTAAAAACCTGTCTGCATGTCCTTCTTGATTTTATCTCATAAAATATTCACACGTTTAACCTATAAACAAATGGATAAGTGATTCTTATAATTTTCCACAAGTACTGCTTTTTCCACTCTTATATCATATCCGATCTAGATTAAAAGTTACAGTATTTCTTTCAAAGATTTTTCATACTGCCCCGTCCAATGTGGAAACTTAAATAAATTTAAGCTTATAGATAGGCTGATACACAAGCGGTTTGGAAGGTATTGGGTAAGGTAATCATCCTCACCTTCATAAGAGTTTAATGTAAGGTTGTAACTTAATAACAGTTTAATTGATAAACTTTGTTTCATTTATTGATGATAAATGAGTAAACGCAGATAAGACAATTATTGTTAGGCCATTATATTCTCAAGGCTTATTGATTATTAAAATAAATATTGAAATAGCTTCAAATATTTTGGAAATATGATCTATTAGTCGTATAATTTCCTAAACATTTAGATTTTTTGATGGGTAAAAATGCATTTATCAAACAGGGAATTCCAAACATTTCACTAAGATCGTGACCTTGCTTTCCAGAACTTCCTGGATGCACCCCATCTAGAGATAATTTTATTTCAAAAGTTTACAGGGTTATGTAGTTAACCTCATGAAATCTTTGATGCTATTTTTTGATAGGACTGAAAACTTTAAAATCATATATCGTCATATCAATAATTTCCTAAATTAGACTGAAGTTAGCAACAGACATTATATCCCTTCTGCGTATTGAAAATATAGTTTTTAAAACAAGTAAGGTTTCGTAATTAATGCGGTGACAGTTAGGTGTAGATTTTTAAACTTATCATGTCTTCTGAGTTTACCTTCTAACAAAAGAGCAAACCGACAGCAGAGATAAGTACGCTAGTTGCTTCATATATAGAAGGCAACTACGTCTGATAATGTTTTTAAATGATGAGGCTAATTGATTCGGCCAAATGAAGACAAGATTGCTTACTCTGACGCCTTCTATTTCTCCAGGTGTTCGACTAGATTATGAAGACATAAACATCTTGGGGGGGAAGCACATAGTACAGTAGACAGAAAGGATGTAGCTCGACGATCTAAACTTCGCAGATGATCTGGCTCTTCTATCCCACACGCAAAAACAAATGCAAAAGAAGATGATCAGTGCAGCTGCAGCCTCAACAGAACTAGGTCTCAACATTCACAAAGGGAAAATTTAGATTCGCTGACACAGCATAACACGAACCAAAACAACCACACTTGAAAGAAAAGTTTTCGATAGCATGGTTACCTCTACGAAAATCGGCAGCATCATTGATAAACAATGTGGATCTGATGCAGATGTGATTACATGGATTGACAAAACAACAACAACGTTTCTACAACTCAATGACATCTGGAACTCAAAACAACTGACAACAAACACCAAAGTCACAATTTTCAATGCAAATGTCAAGACGATTCTACCATATGGGGTGGAAACTTGGAGAACTACCAAACCCATCATTCATAAGATACAAGTGTTCATTAACAGTTGTCTACGCAGGATACTGAGTATCCATTGGTCAGACACCAACAGCAACAACCTTCTTTGGGAGGGAAAAAGCAAGATTACAGCTGTGGAAGAAATTAGCGGAAAGCTCTATGGAAGTAAAGGATACACATTGAGGAAATCACCAAACTGCATCTCGATGCAGGTCTTCATTTGGAATCCTCCATGCGAAACGAGAAGAGGAATACAAAAGAACACATTACGCCGAGAATCGGAGACAGACATGGAAAGAACAAACAGCAATTGAGTAGGACTAGGAAGGAAGACACAGTTGATTGGAGAATACTGGTGATTGGTCTATGCTACACTGGGGGTAACAGACGTAAGTAATTAAGAAATTGATTTGGGTTCTGTTTAGTAGGTGTCGCATATGCTGCTCATTATGTTAGAACGGTTTACTTTTAAGCAAGAAAATATCTTTTCCTAAGAAAGGAACCTCATAAATTACTGTCCCAATTTTCTGTGTATGCCTATTCTGTGAGGACTTTATGATAGGTACTTATTTTCGGTCACTATGTTTTGTGACGAAATTGTTCTTAATTTGAACTGTCGCTCTGTATATTGACGTGGTGTAGATATTTAGATATATCTGTGACAAATTTTGTCTACCCTGATCAAAAAGCTTCTCTACAGACAGTCTTTATTCAGTTTGTAAATAATCTCACGCGAAGTAAATTAGCGCGTTATCACTGATTTTACTCGATTATTAACATTTAGAATAGAATCATGATAAAAATAATGGCGAGTGAATTACATAAAGGTTTTTTATAGGAAACCACCTGAGTACCTAACATTTGATAACATCTTATTCAATAGAATAATGTTTCGTTCAAAGTGTAATAAGCGTACAGTATTTCGTAAATAATCGATAATAATAATAATAATAATTTGTAAACGTTACATCAAGCAAGCCAGTTTATGGTTAAGTTTATAGATTGGAAAACGAAATTGACGTGCCATTAAACAACAATACAATCTGTTGGTTGTTCTACTTAGCTCACTAATAATTTTTCTACAAAAACTCAAAATAGTGATTATTTAACTGTGAGGCTGTTTGAATAATAGATGTGATTTAGAAACAGCGAAAAAATCCAAAATAGATATGTCAATTATTAAACTCTCAATAAAAAAGCTTCATTAATAAAGATTTTCTGAAAATACCAACTACTATAAATTGTTTTTGGCACTTTCGGTTACCAAATTCCGTTCAGTTGATTCATACACATGCATTAGACAAATAAGTATTTTTCAAATTCATCCAATACTTAAAAACGTGATTATTTTATGAACAAGTTATCAATAATTAATGGGTGACATCTATAAAGTTAAAAAAATATTTCTAATTGTTGGCAAATCATTAATTCACATTGACAACTTTCCAGAAACAATGGGCTTAAATAGTGAATTCTCGTTTTTATTTGTTAGTTTTGTAATTAAAACCTAGTCGAAGTTAGTTTCTTCATTAAATCACTGAGAATAAACTTCTCCAGTAAAACCTAGTTATGAAGGATGATGAAGTTCACTTATCGATTTGCCGAAAAAATGACAATTCAGAGAGTAGAACGATGCAATACTTTCTAGATTTCCCACGTGTAAAACAATCAATAAATCCACCTACAAAAGAGTTTAATTTTAAAGCGCTACAGTGAATTTTAGTGACAAAAATGCAATTTTATCATTCAGAACACATCCAAATAGCACTCAAACCTGCATGAATCCCAGAAACACTTCCTCAAAGGATATGGAGAACAATTATTTGTTATATTGGAGTCCTTCTAAGTTAAAGCCTCCAGTTTAAACGCCTGAGTAAATGTGAAGGAGAATATTATCTGAAGACAGCAGCTGGAGTCTCTTCATCATTGAATCATAATATGTATCGAAGTCACTTGAGGTAATTGGAAAACGCTTAAAAATACATTTAGTTTAAAATTAAATGGGCAACTGACATATACATATGTTTAATATATGATATATTACGTGTTGAATGATACCAATTCTAATAATTTTATAACCAGTTAACGAATCTGTAACTGTTTGAAGTGTTGTGTTCTCTTAGCAAGACGACTTAGTTGAGAAACATTTATTGTTACCTATATATAATAAACGCTGAAGATGTTTACTGGAACGACAATGACTGTTTACAATCAAATAATCAAGTTTAGAGGATATAATACCACCAAAAGAATTCACATGAACTACAAATATTCCCCATCATTTTATATCTGTAACTCTAATAAGATAATGTAACATGAATCAAAGTAAATTTGAACAGTTATTAATCAAACATGGTTAAACCAACCTCCGTTGACAGAGCCTGATTAGCAGATTTATCCAAAAGGTACTGAACAACTTCAACATGGTTTTCTTGAGCCGACATGTAAAGAGGTGTGAATCCGTTCTGAGTGGAAATAAATTCAGACAATCCAGTTATATTCATTAATCATTTTATACGTAAGATGTCATTTACGTAAATTACACTTCCTTAGTTCCAATTTGACAAATATTAGGCATTACACAACATAAACTGCAATCCATTAGTTAATAACATCTAATTAATAATCAGCGTATGGATGTGAATTACTCAACGAAGTGTTCTTTTTCTTTAAAACAACATTATGAACAATTCTGTTTGTTAGTACATTTATCTAGTTTGCATACAAGCAATGAATTACACTACCACAGACAACTATCACCTGAATTGATTTTTTGCCATGAGTTTCTTCTGTTGTTTATATCGTTTTCTTCTATTTTACTTCCTAATTGAGTCTGCATAATTTACCTTTTCCCCCCTTGCCCAAAAATAGGAACAACCAATACACATAAAGATAATGATTTGTTGATGGTCCGTATAAGACAACCTCACTAAGTTTACATTTCATATCCAATCACAACATAAACTATCATAAACACTGAAAGCCTAGAGAACTCATTCTTATTGGCTCACAATCTTTCAGATAAAATTAATTATCTGTTACAGCTAACAAACAGGAAGTAAACTCGGAAATCCTATTGTAAATATTTTTGTTTTTGTATTCTACATCAAAACCATAGTTCAGATCTGTACTATAAATTTTTCAAACAATGAACAATTCTGGAGATGTTTATTTTACTGCTTATGAGGACGGAGGCGGCATCATAGCGACCAAGAAACGAAGAATGGTTTCGGTTAAAAAGCTTACGAATAATCTCTTATATAATAATGACGACAATAATAATATTATTGATTGTACATAGATTTCAACAAGTTGGCAACCAATTAAACTGGATGAATAAATGCAAAACTGGGACATTATCCGACGTAAGAAGTCATTCTACGTTTAGATAACATTTGAATAAGATTATAAAAGTCTTGTTGTTAATGATATTTTCTAAACTGCGATTTTCTAGCTAAACTTACATATTCTCATGTGTACACTGAAGACCGATGTTCATTGTCAACATACAGAATGCAGTAAAGTAAGAACGCGGTTGTAGCGTAGTTTCAATGAAATATTTTAATCATTTCATTATGTGCGGAATAAATGGAGTTTACTGACTGATTTTAGTGCATGCCGGCTAGACTGACTACTATAATTCTGGTAGTGGTTTTTTGTTCTCACAAAATAGACAATAATATTTTGAGATCATCTGTCCACAAAACCATGGGAAATATGTTGAGCAAAGGAAATCTAACTAACTGTAACTGTCTTCCTATTTTAGGAAGTTGCAGTTCGAACGGACCATGAGAACATGGCAAATAGTTTTCATTATTTTTCGAAATTTTTTAGGGAAAGATGGTAACTTTTGATTAGTTTGGATTCTATTTTGAATTACTTAAGAGTTTTAAACCATCGTCACAATTCCCAATCAGTCTAAGTATGTTTCATAAGGAAAACTGTTACCATACAAATCACCGTTAATGTAGTAAACTTAGAGGCAAATAGGTTGTATTCTGAAAATATTGGCCATACTAATGTCTTTGAAACAATTGGCTCCTTTAGATAATGCGAAAATTATACCATAAGATATATTAAAGCAGTAAATTTTGAGCAATGTGATTACATATATGCATCTGTTAGGGAAATTTACGGTTATGTAAGAGTAATACTGATTATTTGGAAGGCAAGAAGAACAAAAATAAGACAGACGAACAACTGTTACTCTGGATAGTCAATGAATATTGATTTTGAATCACAGAAAAATACAGTAATGATTTTCAGATAACTATTCAGTGACTGACAAGAATTATTTACTGTCAGCTTTGAAATACTCAGATTTTTAAGGGGAAACTTTGTTTTTTTTTTTAAACCAGAAGCTACATTCTTGGCAAGAATGCTCAATTTCAAATGAAGTTAGGATTCTTCAAGCTTTATAAAAATCCTATTTCCTGATCCTTAGTTGTAGATAGGAAATTCCTACAAAGCATGAAAGCTAACTCTAAGTACTAAAACCAAGTGAACACATGCCCTCCAATAAACTGCTGAAATAAATATGCAAAGTACGGCTGCCACATTTGACTATATTTAAACGATTTTACTAAATTTCTTACTTGAGACTGAGCATTTACATCAGCTCCATAATCAACTAATAGTTGTACAATCTCTAGATGTCCTGCTAGGCTAGCAATATGTAGAGCAGTATTGCCTTTTCTTGTGATCAAATGCACCGATGCGCCACGCGATAATAATTCCTTCACAACATCAGTTTTGCCTTCTTTACACGCTAAGTGCAATGCGTTTAGTCCATTCTGATAAAAAAAAATATAACAGAAATAAAGAATGATAAATATAAAAGTAGAAAATCTGGTGATGAAAATCAATCATACACAAAATAAACTTTTACCGATTCACGATGCTATGTTATAGTTGACTTGTGTTGCTTCGACGGTGGAGTCAGTATTTTCCTCTAACCTCAATGTGGTGATGCAAGTTTGTATCGACTCGTTAGGATTGGTGAATGAAATTCAACAACTCGTTAACTCATTTTTCATTGTATGAAGTGGTATTCTGAGACTATTTTTACAAATATGATTGATATGTTTGTGGCAGTTTTATCAAACAATTAATTTCCTTAGTTATTTTCCTTTGGATTATATTATATGGATGCTTTTAATCTTTCAAAAGAATATTGAAATAAACAAGATTCTAAAGTAATTGACGTGAAACATTAATTTGTACACTGTGTACTATATTTGGATCATAATAAACAAATGATTTGAGGATAATTTTCACGAAAAAAAAATAATTTTATTGAAAGGACATTTAAAAACTGGGCGTACTAAGTTATTGGTTTATTTTAGTTTTTACGACACCTCGGTAGTTTGATAAAACAAAATACACTAAGGAAAGTTCTAGATAGAAGCGCATTTGCTTTTCAGTTATTATTCAGCAAGACTTCAGGGGATTGAAAGGCTTCAGACTTTAGCAGTGCAACACAGTCACCATCAGTGACATTCTGTTTTTCACCTTTGACTTTTCTGTTTACTTGTCACGTCATTCCTAGAATAATTTTACTTAGTGAATAAAGGCTAACGAAAAAGCCAGTTCTCATTTTAAATTTTGAAAGAATCAAATGTAAATAAAAATACTTTCATTCAGATTTGTTTTTATGTAAGTCAGACCAAGAACTATCTAATCAATAATATAGAAAATAAGATTTGAAGTTTTTGTTTCCGTTATTTCAAAGTATAAAAGCATAAGAAACTTTCCTAGAATTATATTTGTTTATCCTTACGTTGCTATGGTAGTTGTTAGGATGTTATTTTTTTTCTCATTAATAGAATTTTTAAACAGATAACCTTTGATTTTTAAAAGTAAAAGGGAAGCTATTTTATATTATTTCGCCGTTTCTATACACCAAAACCATCAGTATGCCTAAACGCCTACAGGTAGTAGAGATATGGTGATAGCATAAGAACCCAACATAGTCAGTCTGCTGGCAGTTAAGTTGTTGCTGTGAACAATATATTGTTTTAAACTCCAAAACTCATGCCTAGGCTGTAAATGATTTGATCAATATTGAGAAGAGTATTTCATATAGTCATCAGGTATGTAAGCTTTATAGCCTGAGGGTTTCATTCATTATGATCATTTAATTAGTTGATAATGCATAGCATTTTTCAATACTGAGAATCAGAAAAGGGCTGAATAAAGGGTTGATGAGAATACAGCGATACTTTTTGACAAGTTGATAACTGTGCAATATTGAAATTTACTCCTAAAAAAGCAATGGGATTAAACTCAATCGACAAGTGAATAGGGATTTATTCGTATTTATCTTCATCGCTTGTCGATCTTTTCTGTATCATGAAAATAGTACATATTCGGGTTTTGAGTTTTGTTCTTCTCAGTTTAGTTCTCACAAATATACCAAGGTCACATTGATTGGTACGTGATTTTCATATTTAAAGTCTGTATACAATTGTAGATCATTAAACTGGAATTTCACATTGTGCCTGGCTACAGCGGGTTTTCAAATAGTTAATAAATGAAAAAAAACTTGTAATATGTTTGCAAGTTCTTGTAGTCAAAGAGTTGGCAATGTTTCTTTGAATTAAAAAAACATGACTGACCACAAATAAGGTGCAAAAATCGATTTAGAATATTTTGGATAGTAGTTTGCAGTTCTCTGCATTCGTTGGCAACAATCTACTTACTACTTCAGAGAATAAATCACCATTCAGCTGAGGAAGAAATTGGGAGAAAACAGTGTTGGTAAACAGGACACAGATGGCCGAAATCGCCAAAATGGATCATAAGAAAAGCCCTTACTTGGAATCCTCAAAGCAAAACGAAAAGAGGTAGGCCAAAGAACACACTGTGCTGAGAATTGGAGGCAGTCATGAAGAGAATGAACTACAATTGGAGAGGAGAACCAGAGACAGAGTTCATTGGAAAATCCTGGTGGGCGGCCCATCCCCCACTAGGCATAACAGTGTTAATAGGTTGCGAAAGCACTAAGGCAACGGATAATACATACGGTTATAGTGATATCAGATGTTGTCGTCTGTTTATCGAATAAATATCCTGTCCTCATTCATTATCTTTTTGAGAAGGATTTCCTGAAGTTCTGATAAAAGATATGAATGTTGAAGTTGATACTATTCAAACTACTTTTTCTTAGTAAGATGAATCATTATTTCAGGTGAACCCTGCAGACATTAAATGATTCTAACTTGTACTAGTCAGTTAGTGAATTGATACGTTACTTTTAAAGATCTGTCTCAAAGCTAATCACGAATTAATGCACGATCATTCGTAAATAAGGTTTGCAAAATAATGTTGGATCTCACAATGTCACGATGTAATTTAGTCGAAGACAGGGATTTTCGGAACGCCAGTACGTCGCTGGTTGGCTTTGTGTTTCCTGTCATATTTTAATATCTCGACATCATTATCACACTGGACTTTGGGTACTTGTTTCTCAGGTGTGCAGAATAAACACCAATAGTCTATAACATATTAACTTGTATTCACTAATTCTTTACTTTTCGATACATGATTAAAATGAGCTTTTGACGATAGAAAATTTTTCACAAGTCAGCTAATTTAAAACCTAGATTCTGAGCTAACAGATATCAGTGTTCAGACTTGATGGATAGACCTAATTAAGTTAGAGAGACTAGCAGAATACAATGGCTGTCAAGTTAGCATCAGGATGCCTATGATAAAGATTACGATTATCTAAGTAATTAATTTTGTAAGATCCGCCCACTACTGAGTATCTCGGAAAGCAATATATTATGTTTACTTTATCCTGACTACAACAATTCCTACAGTTCTAAGGCTTGTGAGATGGTGAAGAAAATTTGTAGTTCGGGTGGATGATTGTAGTGGTGTTTCGTTCTCTGAGCTGGATGTTTTGGTTGTGGAGCTTTCATTGTTCATCTGAACAACATCATCAGCACAAACTTCAGATAGGGGTGAAGATTAGGATTTCGTCACTTTTGACCCGTAGCTTGTTCTGTTAACCTCTATCTTGATTGGTTGTTGCTGACCGTAAACCTATGGTTGTTTGCAACTTCATTTGATTGTATCCCCCTCTTGATCTGATTCTCAACCCTATGTTTGCCTATGATTTTTCTGATTGGTTGATATGAGCGAAGAAATGCGTGGCGTTTGACTGTTAATTGGTGTTCACGTGAACGAATCTGGAGAGGACATCTAATTTATCCTATGTAGTGTTTTTCACAATCTGAGCAATTTAGTTTGTAGATGATATTTGGCATAATGATCATTCTACCACACATCTACACACATCTACCACATCACGACTTACAGCACGACTACCGCGACCAATTGGAATAGGTGTGGCACACAAACCAACAGAATCACTTCAATCAATCCTAAGCAGACTAAAGAACAAAATGATATATGTTAGCCTCATTCCACTTGTTCTCTGGGATCTTGGGTTTAAACTCTTATGTTGATATCAAGGATTATTAATGAACAGCTTCAAACTGAAATAGGAAAGTTCTCCTAGTATCACTTCATACCAATAGACATCCCTGAATCATAGGTCCACTGTATAAAACTCACTAGCTCACCGGAACATTTAGTTAAGATTAATTACAATATTATTAGAATAGGACTTTGATTTCATTTTAAAGAAGATCCAATCTCACGTGTGGTTTTCCCTTCATTATAGACAAAACGATATAAACACGTGCTTGAATACAAATGCTAAGCACTCGTTTATCTCATTTCAAGCATTTCATTTTCCGTTATATATTCTGAGTTTGTTTTACTATTTATTGAGTTGATAGAACTCTGATAACTATTTCCAGGCGAAACAACTTCCAATATATTTCAAGGAATTTATAACTTTTTGAGTACAATACACCAGTTATGAAATAACATTAGTGGATCAGCCAAGGTTATGCGTCATTTAAACTGTACAATGAAAACGATAAAGAATGATAATATACACAGTTTTGATAAGTAAGGTATTAATGGCTCTTGTTTTATTTTCACATTCCACTCATCAAAGAAATTGTTTAATTTTTTTCTAGAATGAAGTAAAAATCGTAGCTGAGTATGTGCACACAAAAAAAAACGATGGAGAAATGTTAATGCTAATTTAATAAAAAAAATAACAATCTAAAACCACCGACCGAAATTATCTACAAAATAATGACGCTTGAGTTTTCTTCTCCACCCCCCGGTAATTGTTACTTTTAAAGAAGGGTAAAATTCGTTGAAATGCATGAATCGTTTGTGTGATTGAAGATACGCCTTGATATTTTATGCCTATCAATATTTAACCGAAACGATGAATGCGCTCAAGTTTTTATTTGTGCTTGAAATCAACAGAACATCATGCATAAATTACGTGTGATGTAATAAATCTCCTAACTTGTGTATTTACCAGTGTTAGCTAGCTGATAAAGACCGAAAGTATTTTAAAATGTGACAATTAATTGGCACAGATACGGTTTTACAGAAAGACTAACGGACGAGAGTATATTTTCCCTTGAGTTTTATTTATCAACAGTGACGTTCAACTTCCTTAATTAATATATTCATTCCGCATGAAACAATCATCACAACTTGAATTGACATAGCTATCGATTTTTTTCTGTACTTCTCAATTCATTTCTATTTTGGTTAACTTCATAACTGTTATCTATGCTATTAACCCACTCATGTCCGATAATCAATTTATGATTATCATGTTTATTTACTTGACAACGTAAAACATTGGTACTATATTTTTTTTAAAAGTTTTTCTGTACTTGCTCTCACAAAGGTTGAATTTGCCAGAATCATTATTGCTGCTAATCTAAACTTAGCTTGTAGCGAATAGGTTGCCACGGACATATAACTAGATGATCATTGTCATTCGCTGAAAGAATGAAATCTATTTCATGGTGTTTTTTTTGTTGTATGTCAACCTTACTATAATATGGGCTTAACATGAGCAGAAGCAAGTTTCTTTCTGTATCCATTGGAATTTGATACATTTTCTTTCTTTTGAGAAATACTAACTTTTCAGTCAATATTTGAAAAGGGTGGATAGGTGGTAATCTATGCATAGTTAGATTATAGATAGTTTCAAACTATTCTTAGGCATATTAGTAATATGGACATTATTACAGTTGTGTTTATTTCAGACCTAATTTGACTGGCTACTACATTTTTTCCGTCATTATTCTATGCATCATAATGCACGCATAATTTTCTGATAAATATACTCTCACAGAGTACCATCAGAAATTTCATATAATCTACCAGCTAAAAAGAAATGCCTTATCAAATATAAAGAAGATTTAAAGCAATTTGTAGAAATTTTTTTGGTGACTAATTACATTCAAATATTAGTGTCACAAATTGTGTACATAAATTCACATAATATTTTAATAAATCTATCGGAAATTTCTTATACTCCGCTAGGGTATAATTCCTAATTATTTGGTAACTTCATTTTGAAATGTTGGTTGATTGATGTGGTAGTATATAAACAAATGAAACAGCTTTTGGAAGTTATCAACATCGTACTTATGATTATTTTTCATATCACTATTTAAATTTTGAAAACATTTAAAATATTTTATTATGAATTGTAGGACAATTTGTCTGGTTTTTAATTCAAAGTTTTTCATCGAGAGCTATTCATATGATATCGGCTGTAAGGCAAATTCAAATTTCACATACACCTTAAACAACTCTGAAAAAGCAGTATAATATTTGTATAATAGAAGACTGAAATAATGGAACTGTTCAAAATATGTGGGTTTCCAGCTTAACGAACCGAAGTATCGAACTTTCATTGCTAGTTTCGTCAGGTGCTTTTTCTAATTATTGGTGAGTGATAATAAGTTAATTAGTCAATTGTAACATAGAACTTGGTTTGTACATGAAAAAGTTCAAGTTGTCATAAAATTTCCCAGCCCGAATTCCCTGAGAATTATTAGAAGTAGTAAGAGTATTAGTGCTAATTGAAATGATTAGGAATCAAAGACATGATTCAACGAAGTATAAATTAGCGAAGTAAAAAAAGATGAATTCAGAAACTTAGAATTTGGAAGAGGACAAAGAATGGATGCGCTTATGTGATTTCAAACTATTTGCAGTCAAGTCATTCTTATAAAATTACTTATAATATATGATAAGTGGAGAACTGTCTCGTAACTACACTGCTGACGAGTTTCATACTGATACTTCCAGGTTTACTTACAATGGTGGTCCAGCTTAAGATTTATTGATGATTTAAAAACTATGAAAATAATTATTGTCGACTAAATTTCAAACACGTTTTTGTTCGGTCACTTTCTATACTCATATCCCAAGCTATATAGTCTACTGATTTAAATATTTTTTTTATGAAGACTTTCATTATCTTCAGACACTCTTCACACTATCAACAGATTTATTCGATTTGTTACGAATGCTTATGCGTCGCCTCGTCATTTTATTCCTTAGATTTGATTCGTTCAGTTAGAACTCGATTGACTAGCTGAAAAATATAGAAATTCTAAGCTCAATGATTCACTGTGTGTTTACTTTGAGTTGATGCTAAGTTAGAATGAAAAGAAACCTCAATCTAGTAAACATAGTCTCTGTATCAAACTCGTTTATCAAATTCATAAAAAATCTCAAACTATAAAATTTTTAAAAAGTACTAATTTATTGTGGTACAAAATTCGGATTAAAAAAATACATTGAATAAATGCACTTATCGTAAGCATAGATTTGTTAAGTTTGAGATTGCTATTGTAATTTAACGTGTTGTCAATATGAAATTCAATGTTTGCAGATAAAAAGTAGTTAAGCAAAAAAAATAAAACATACTGTGAAAATGTGTAATGACAATAACAGCGTCTTATAATAATCACTGGAGAAAGGTTACACTGACTTTGTAGCTTTACAGGACCACATGACATGAAGAAACTATTAAACTAGAAGTCAACTAAGTGCATCGATAATGCACTCCTTGAATTAATAAACGAAAAATATACAAGTTTACAACTTTTAATTTGTTTAGTGTCCACTATGTTCCAGTTTGACGATAAGTCGACACTTGAAATATGTTTTGACTGGACAACTGTTGAATTTGCAAGGCATCACTTGTATAAAATAAGATTTAGATCAAAACCTGTGTCACAGTACGTTTACTCTACTAATTTTCGCCTAATAAATTCGAATAACTGAAGTTTAAGTTCTATTTCTGATTGAGATGAAAAACTATTCTCACTGTTGTTCTGGAAAACAACTTTTACTGACGTCAAATGCGTTGGTAAATAATACTTAATTCGTTCTCGTGGTGTTTCCGAATGATTAGGAAATGACACCTGCAACTCATTGAAAGCGGTTAAAACCACCAGCAAATTTAATTTATTTAAAAAACAAAGAGGTCATGTTTTTCAACTGTGGATTAACGTTTACTCTCAAAATGTCCACTTAAAACGGTCATGGAAAAGCTAGCAGATAAGAAACCCGGTCCACAGTGAATACTGATTTCTTTGTGTTCACTGAAAAGTACATGATTTACAAAAAATAAAGTGAATAACGCATTTTTATTTATTATTTCACAAAATGTTAGTATCTCTAAATAGATAGAAAACAACTTACAGTATTCGAAACGTTGATGTCGGTTATTTTATTGAGTAATTCACGTAATTTTTCCAAATTTCCAGCTCTAGCTGCACGTAGAAAGCTTTGATTGAGATCAGCTTGTTTTGGCTTCATATGACCAATAATACAATGTTTGATTTTTGTTGTATTATCACAAAATGATGCATCATACAGACCAGTTTTATTGATTTGTTGATCATCAACGATGTTTTCATTTTCATGACATGTATTAATAGTGGTTGTTTCAATCCCGTTTTTATTTGGTGCACAGTATTGAAATAATGATGGTGTTTTACAGGGATTCCCAGTTTTCATTTTTAATTTCCGTGACATCGTTACCGATATTTGTTCATGATACCATGGTTGGATTTGAAGGAATAATGAAGACGATGAATGCGATGTTTCATTGGCAGGCGATGATGATATTCCAATCGATTGAGATGACGATTTAAAATAAGGTTTAGAAGGAAGAAGTTGAGAATTAGTACATAACCTAGATCGAGGAAAACAAGTACTTAACAAACAAAAATAACGCTTTCTCTTTCTCTGTCCAGTCATCTTATATTTTGTGAATGCTATGAGGCCAAAATATCTTTATACTCTTGGCAGGCGATCACATTTCGTCGAAAAGGTTGCTACTTAATTTTTATATACTGATAGGTGGATACTTGATTATTATTTGTGTATGATGATTGATTTCGATCTCGTGACAAAAAACATTTAAACAACTCAATGATGTATGCGTGTTATATGTGTGTTTATAATCACTCTAAATTGTATTTCTTGATTGTGCATAGGTGGCTTCTGTTTCATACGTGCTGCTACATCTCTTCACAAGGAAAATCACACACACACACACATGTGCATTGCTTTCAAAAAACGAATAATATCAGTAACGAAAAAATCTATTAAATGAACTATCTAGTAACCATCAAGCTCAAATTATAATCTAATATCATTTTTTATTAAAGCCACTATCACTTTCACACAGTTTTCGTCGCTTGAGCATTATTATGTGCTGATCTTAATAAAGTAACTTGTAAACATGTCTTTACTATGAATGAAATGGAATTTCTTCCGGAGAATAAATTTACTAAAACATTTTAAAATGTTTGTTAGGAAAGTTCTCACACGTAGCCTGCATGCAATTTTAAAAATCCATAAGCAATGTAATGATTGCAAATCTGACCTAAATGTTTACTAATCAATTTATACTACTTTCCAGTAGCCAAAACAGTTAAGAGTAAATTTCTGTCTTTTTGTGTCAAAAAGTTGTATGGAATATTAGTGCTGAGTTAAGTATCTTGCAACCCTACATCCAAAGTCAATAGTGCCATATTTAATTGACAAGTAAGTAATCAATAAAAATTATTTAATTCTAGGCCGTGTAATCGGTTAAGTTTGAATAAAATGCTGTAGGGAATTAGAGTAACTCAATCCGTCGATAAATAAAAATAGAAATAATTCAGCGAAGAAAATTTTCTTAGATATGATTTCACGCTAGCTGACTGCAGTAATTTCGTGCAGAAACTATCAGTTGCAAAAAAAACCTTGCCAGCATGTCATATCAAAGTGTAATATTCAGTATTTTGGTGTTATTAGTACTGGTGAACTTCAACGAAATTTGTTTATTCAATTAGGATCGTCAAATAAAATTCAATTTCTGGTGTTTATAGGTTTTGAAGAAACTTCTAAATTGTAATGACTAACGTACACATACAATAGTATTAAAACACCATATTTACCGGTTCCATAAAAGCCTAGTGTTCTAAATGAGCCATAGCTTAACATGCAGTTCTTTGAACTGATACATTATTAAAATCATAGTAAATTTTATTAAAGCAGACCTAGTGTGAAATGCCGATTTTCAACTAATTACGAGGAGAATGCAAACATAATTCGTATAATGATACGTTTAAGAGAAACCACTTTTAATAGAAGGAAGCTTGTACTTAGTTGTTTACTTAGTTCACATCACTATACACTGCTGAACTAATTGCAAGTGTGCCTCAGCTTAGCTTGATGAAAACAGTTTTGACGAAATCCGATCTGTTCTAGGTTACTTTTTCTTATTCGGGATATAAAAATAGTTTTCATTCGATGTGATATTGCAAATGGTTGAAGGCAGATATTTAAAAAATAGTTTGAAATATATATATAGTCGTTATAGGAGACTGTATGTTAATCAGTAATAAAAAATCACTATGTTCAAAGTAAGATTGTAGATTTTTCATCCAGCTTATTAGATAAGCAGAATATATATTTTGGCATTAATGTTCTGCATTACTGATCTCTACACACTACCTATATTCCTATACTGGTTCTAATCGTTTCTTTCTGAACTTCTGAGCAAAGATGATGCTGTGTTATATAGAGCATTGCAGGCTATGGGAACTGGGTCTTTTAATGCAAACAACCATCAAGTGTCCTTCTGTTCAGTACGAAACAACAGACTCCGTACATATCTTGTATATTTGGTGAGCGAATGAAATGGAGATACATTAAAAATTCATGAACGTAAAGGAAAGTAAGAAAGTTTACCATATCTAGAAAAAAATGTGATGAAATGGTTGTAAGGGCTAACCTAACCAAAATATCTGTTTCTTGAAAGTTTAATTTAAAAATTCTCTATTGTACTAAACCTATTAGCTTAGATAACGCGATCGATAATAATATTTTCGATTTATTTCTTAATAAATATACTGTAAATGAATTCATGTTTTATAGCATGGTTGATAGGATTTTTCCAGTCGAACCCGTTTATAGGTTCTGCTTATACTCGTTCTGACAACGAAATGGTAGTCTGCATAGGATTTTAAAAAACTGAAATGATGATGTAGGATCATATATGTACTCAAAATATAACTAGACAAAAAACATGCTCGTTTTACCTAAGACTTTAGATCATTGAAAATAACTTCGCAACTTATTCTAAATTTATTGATTACAAGATATCCTATACTCAAATTTAACCGAACATACTGGGAAATGAAACAAATTATAAGGTATGATAATTCAATGTATAGTATATTCACAATGAGTATCATCAGTCATAATATACACAAGTACGGTATACACGTTATCATAGTTTACTAATATTCAAATTTTAGGCAGCATCTGACTATTTTTAAATCAGTTCCTCAAATTTACACAACCTCCGTTTCCATTTCAATATTATTAATAAACAGAATAAAATAGAATTAGTGCCTTACATGAACAAGGTTATAAGAACTAAAGCTACCATTTTTGAAACTGAAATTATTTCCCAAACCATTGGAAATTTATGATTAGGTGTCAAAGCTTTCAGAAATTTTGGCATATTTAGCGAAGTCAATCGTTCCGCGGTCTTTTCGAAATGATCCAGTTAACTTGCACCATAAAATTTGTGAATTTCTTTTGGCTAGAAGTAGTTACTGATAGTCACTGACTTTTATTTTATTCTGAATGATGAAAATCTAACTGTTTTAGCTTTGGTTGGAACCATCCATTGGTTTTATTGTTGTTCCCGATATTTGTTTTTATAACGCTTTTCACTGTGCACAATCCTGAATCGTTGATCTTTTGTGTGAGAACCCACTTTGTTCCATGAAATAAGATCAAAAAGCTTTATTTTCCTCCGCTTCTAAATGTAACTATAGAGATATGCAAACTTTCTGCGTATTTTACTCTGAAGATCGTGATAACGAATGTAACTTTAGTAGTTCATTGTTTCATGTGATTTACCACACTGTTGCTTCTCTTATTACTATTATTAACACTAATTTAATTATAACGCTACTTCATAACTTGAAGATTTTACGTCATTTCATGTCACATCATTTTGAATCACTCAATATATATATATATATATATATATATATATATATATATATATATAGTACGTGTAATGAACCTATAAAACGAACCTAATTTGTTTGTCTCATATTGCATCACTTACTTTTGCCAGTACCATTAAACCACGATTCTGATTCAGATATGCAGATGACCTTATTCGTCATAATTAAAAAGGCACTCCTTAGAATGTTCTTTAAACTGATATACACATTCTCTGAAAACATCAAATTCACATTCGAAAATGAAGATGAATGTAGTAAACTAGTAAATTTAATAATATGCTGAAAACCGACACACATAACGGTAGATTGACTTTAACTCTGCACATCCATTGAGTGCAAAAACTTCCCTAGCCATGAACCTATTCAAAAGGGTTACTTCATGAAAAGGTAAGCTAAGGGAAAAAAGTTATATAACAAACATCCTACGGCTTATTAATTTTGTTATGAATATTATTAAAAGCTTATTAAAATGAAACTATACATCTATAAATAACATTTCTAATGAAACTCTTAGCATTGATACTATGGTTTTACCACATCGTCAAGATACGACAGAAGAATCAAGATGCATTTTGCAAATATTCAGAGTTAAAGCTTTCTACGAAACAACCGACAGTTAAAGAAACGCTCTGGTTATAATGAAGGAAAAGATCTTTTTTACATCCACACGAAACTGTCTACAAACCGGGTTGTGACGACTTTGATGCGTTCTATATCGCACAGCCTTCTCGTGAAATCTCAACTCATGCCAAAGAACACTTAAGCTACATAAAAAGACCTAATGATCCCGTAGAACTGGAAAAATTATAATTTAAATCGGCAATGGTAGTATATACTACTTTCAACAACCAGCGAATCGATATCAAAAATATCAAAATAATTCAAGGATTTTTTCCAACTATAAACAGAAACGAGTAACTAATACTAACTATCCTTTATACGCACAAGTTACAATTTAAGGTCTCACACAGAATCACCTTGACCGAAAAATAATATAACATTGAAATATTGAAACCAATTATGATTTTGATCATACGAAAAATATTCTGTCTTGTTCCCTTCTCACTACTTAAACTTCCGTTAATTCATATTGATTATTTAGTTAGTTGCTCTGAAGCAGTGATCCGCATTAAGTCAAGGAACGTTAGAACGCACAAATTTTCGCTCATTGGGATATCACCAAAAAAAAATTAAAATTATTCTATTATTATTATTATCATTACTATTATTAACTTTCCATCTAATGCTCAGTTCATTTGAAACCATCACGTC